AGAGTCACCAGCGCCAGCTCCTCCCGTAGCAGGGCCCCTAGCTCCAGCAGCGCGACCCTGACGGCCAACGTACCACTCAAGCAGCTGCTGTGGGGAGAGAGGGAGTCGACGACGAGAGGGCAGCGGCGAGGCACCAGCAGAGCGACTACGTGGACGGCCGCTCCAGGGAGACTGCTCACCAGACGCCTCAGCGCCCCCAGGTGCAGCACCCCCAGACTCAGTACCCCTAGGCTCAGCACCCCCAGACTCCGCACCCCCAGGCTCCGCACCTCCAGGCTCAGCACCCCCAGTAGCAGCACCCCGAGCAGGACCACTCTCAGCAGGACCTGAGTCACCAGTGACCTCAACCGGCGCAGTCAAGGGAGGAGGGTCTACCTGAGACACACCTGAAGGCGCAGGACCGGGAGCGGGGAGGGGGTCTACCTGGGGAGCACCTGGAGCGAGGAAGAGCGGCGGGGGGGGGGGAGGGGCAGTGCGGTAGGGGAAGAGACGGTAAAAGGGAACCGACTCGTCGAACGTGACGTCCTGAGAGGGGAAGACACGGCGCGAGGTGGGGTGGTAAAACTGCCAACCAGGCGCGTCAGGGACAAAGCCAAGGAAGACACAGGGAACAGCGCGGGCGGAGAGCTTGTCCGCGGTGGTATCGCGGACAAGGGCACGAGCACCCCAGACCCGGAAACGCGACGCATCGCCAACCTTCCCCGTCCACAGCAGTGTGGGCGAGGTCTCCGGCAAGGAGACACGGGGCCAAAGGTTGAGCTGATGCGCGGCGTACCGGACCGCAAACGGCCACAGAAAATGGGGGGCAGCCGCATGGATCATGGAGGTACGAGCGACCTCCATGACTAAGCCAATGCGGCGCTCAGCAACCCCATTCTGCTGCGGAGAGGCCGGAAGCGTGAACGTCTGGCGGATGCCGTGCTCCGCACAGAAGGCTGCCAAGAGGTCTGAGGAGAACTCACCACCTCTGTCAGAGTGCAGACGCAGGACAGGAAAGTCCGACTGGAACCGCTCGCGGAGCTGGAGACGGGCAGCGCGGATCCAAGGGATCAAAACATCTGGGACTTCACCCTTGGTGCGCAAGGGGAAGACCGTGGTGTAACGCGTGTAGTCGTCGACGACCAGCAGAAAGTACCGCTCGTGGCCCTGTCCACGGACGCGGGCTGGGCCCCACACGTCCAGGTGGAGAGTCTGCAAGGGAGCCTCTGTGGGAGGGAACGAGGAGGAGTGAGGAGCGGCGCGCTGCCGCCCCTCGACACAGGGAAGACAGGGAGGAGCAGGCGAGGGTGGGAGGGGAGGGAGAACCCTGGGAAGACCAGAGACAAGGACACGGCGGTGCATGCTACGAAGGCGCTGCACCGAGGGGTGACCAAGGCGGTGGTGCCAAAGGAGGGTCTGGTGCGACAAGGCGCGACACGAGCAGGGGGCCGCTAGCTGACCTGACGCAGACGCAGACGCAGCTACCTGAGGGGACTCAGTGGTCAGTGTGTACAGGCCCGACCCCAGCTGCCGAGTGAAGGTAGCCAGGTGACGACCCGTCTGAGCACACGTGCAGTGTGTCACACGCTCGTAGGCAGGGGTGAACTGGTGAACACCCGCGTCCTGGAGCGCAGAACCCGCCACCAAGTTCGTAGAGAACGAGGGGAGGTAAAGACCCGACAGTGTGCCGGACGGGACAGCGGGACAAGGGAGGACAGTGGTGGAGGTCGCACGGACTGGACCCCCAGAGGGGTCTGCCAGGGAGACTGCAACCGGCCGACTGAGCGGCGTAAGGGTGGTGCTGTCGCGAAAGAAGGAGCGAGAAGCACCGGAGTCAAGTGTGAAGGTGTACAAGGCCTCAGTAGGTGCAGTACCAGAGAGAGCAGACTCACCAGCACCTGGAGCAGCAGCCTCACCAGTACCTAGAGCAGGAGACGCACTAGCACCTAGAGCAGCAGCCTCACCAGCACCTAGAGCAGCAGGCTCTATATCTGGGTCAGGCGGTACGCACAGGTAACAGGCACGGTCAGCACTAGTAGGCAATGCATACATGGCAGTGAGAATAACATCATAGTCAAGAGCAAAGATATCTACTCTCTGTCCAAGCAGCTCCAGCCAGTTGGGGAGCTCAGCCTCGTCGCCAAACTCGGTACGCCAGGCGTCGCTCAGACGGGCGAAGCAGCGGGACTGTGTGTGGCCAGGCGTCCCGCAAGGCTGACCAACCCGATCACCTGTGCGAATGACGTACGGGCAGCGAACTGGACTCAAAGATCCTCTACTCTGAGCGTACCACTCACGAAGCTGCTGGGGCGTAAGTGTCTCACGCGGACGCCGCTGCAGCTGCAGCTGGCCACTGCCAGACGCTCCCGACTGACCAGCTCCAGGGCGACAGCCCCGACGGCGACCTCCACAGCCCCAACTATTGTACCACTCACAAAGCTGCTGGGGCGTGAGGGACTCACGCGGACGTCGGTGGAGCTGCATCTGGCCACCGCCAGTAGCAGCAGTAGCAGTAGCAAGTAGGGCAGGCGCGGCAGGCAGGCAGGCAGGCAGTCAGGCAGTCAGGCAGGCAGGCAGTCAGGCAGGCAGGCAGGCAGGCAGTCAGGCAGTCAGGCAAGCAGGCATGCAGGCATCTGGCGCTGTAGCGTGCGAACAAGGCAGGTGCTCACCAGTGGTGGGAAGGGCAGGCGCTTGCCGGGCGAGCAGGGCCGGCTGCTCTGGGTCCAGGGGCTGCTGCTCTGGGTCCAGGGGCTGCTGCTCGAGGGTCCAGGGGCGGCTACACCAGGGGCGGCTGCTGCAGGGTCCAGGGGCGGCTGCACGGAGTCCAGGGGCGGCTGCACCAGGGGCGGCTGCTTCAGGGGCCAGGGGCGGCTGCTCCGGGTCGAGGGGCAGCTGCTCCAGGGGCGGCTGCTTCAGGGACCAGGGGCGGCTGCTGCAGGGGCCAGGGGCGGCTGCTGCAGGGGCCAGGGGCGGCTGCTCTGGGTCCAGGGGCGGCTGCTCCAGGGGCGGCTGCTGCAGGGGCCAGGGGCTGCTGCTCTGGGTCCAGGGGCGGCTGCTCGAGGGTCCAGGGGTGGCTGCACCAGGGGCGGCTGCTGCAGGGTCCAGGGGCGGCTGCACGGAGTCCAGGGGCGGCTGCACCAGGGGTGGCTTCTGCAGGGGCCAGGGGCGGCTACTCTGGGTCCAGGGGCGAGCGCGAGGGCTACGCGACGTAGGGCAGTGTAGGCAAGGGGCGGGGTAACTCGGGAACCGCGGAAAAACGGTTGGTGGGCCCTGAAAAACACTCCTAAAACGGTCCTAAGGACCTATGTTGCTCTGATACCATGTCGAGAGTACAAGGGAAGGATCGAAATTTACTATCGAGAGTTTGGTACAGAAATATAACCTAAGGGGTTGTACCCCATAGTGAGTACCCCACTAAAGCCTACCCAAGCTATAACATATAACTATATGTTTGACATCGTGCACACTAACCACAGGGCTCGTCCACACTAACCATAGGGTTGTGCCTTGGGGCATGCAAACCACGGGGGTGTGCGTAGGGAGCACGAGTTACAGGTCTCGGGCATCATGATGCACTACCAACAGGGCTTGTAGAATCTAACACACTAACTGCACGGCTGGTAGAATCGAGCACACTAACTACAGGAGCACAATAACAGCAGGGCTTGTAGAAATGAGCACACAAATCACAGGGATCGTAGAATTGGGCCCACTGACTACAGAGCTTTACAATCGAGCCCATAAACTGCAGGGCTCATAGAATCGAGCACACTAGCTGCAGGGCTTGTACTTTGAGCACACTAACAACAGGGCTTGCTGAATCGAGCACACTAACAACAGGGCTTGCTGAATCGAGCACACTAACAACAAGGCTTGCTGAATCGAGCACACTAACAACAAGGCTTGCTGATCGAGCACACTAACAACAGGGCTTGCTGAATCGAGCACACTAACAACAAGGCTTGCTGAACCGAGCACACTAACAACAGGGCTTGCTGAATCGAGCACACTAACAACAAGGCTTGCTGAATCGAGCACACTAACAACAGGGCTTGCTGAATCGAGCACACCAACAACAGGGTTTGCTGAATCGAGCACACTACCAAGGGCTTGCTGAATCTAGCACACTAACAACAGGGCTTGCTGAATCGAGCACACTAACGACAGGGCTTGCTGAATCGAGCACACTAACTACAGGGCTTGCTGAATCGAACACACTAACTACAGGGCTTGCTGGATCAAGCACACTATTGACAGGGCGAGAAGAATCGAGTACAACAACATTGCAGGGCTCGTACAATTGAGCACATTAACTACAGCTTGCAGTTCAAGCACAATCACTCCATGGCATGTAGAATAAGCACACTAACCACAGGGCTTTTAGAATGAGCACACTAGCCACAGGGCTTGCAGAATCGAGCACACCGTACTACCGTAACGGCAGGGCTTGTAAATCTGCACCACAGGCATTCCAAACATACCATACGGTAGCAGTAGGAGCATCACACTGCACCTGTGTTGTGTCACGTGGAGCTGCGTATATGCAGTGTTGGCTGGGCTGTGGTGCTGCCATGCTTCTGTGCATTCGACCTGTGTACCGTATGTTGCAGATCTTGCAGGTCTTGCACAGGTGGTATTGCACAGTAGCAGCATTGACGGATGCTTAGAAGTGCACTGCTGCTTCTCGTAAGAAGTGAAATTGAAAGTAAACTGGATGCTGGCAAGGAAGTGAGCAATGCTTGGTTGAGTGGGCTCCCATCCCAGGGCAGCCTATGGCGTGTAATTACACCTTTGCTCTTTCAGACAACCCATAGCTGAGCGTCTCAACTCCCAAGGACACTCCTCCTAAGAGTGTTCAAACATGTGTTTTTGACTCTACGACTCTTGTCGAGGTAGTGAGCAAAGCTCTTGTGAGTGGGCTCCCACCCCAGGGCAGCCCGCACGGCATCGCTGCACACGCACTCATTGAGTCAACCCTACACAATGTCCCAATGCACTTTATGCAGTGTCTCAACTCGACTCTACGACTCGAGGCCAAGGAAGTGAGCAAAGCTCTTGTGAGTGGGTTCCCATCCGAGGGCAGCCCGTGTGGCATCGTTGCACATGCGCTTGCCCAGTGGCCCCTCCGTGCCCGTGAAGCCCTTAAACTCGCCCTCGAACCGGCCGCTCCTCACCGTCAGATCCATTAGCTCTTGCCTGCTCGCACGGGGTGGGGGGGTGTGGTGCATGGGGTGCATGGTGTGCATGGTGTGCATGGTGTGCATGGGGTGCATGGTGTTTATGATAGATGGTTGGGCTGAGATGGAAAGAGGGTGGTGCGAGGGGCACGGACATGGAGAGCACGCGCGAAAGCATCACAGTCCATGAAGATTCACCAACGCAGGCAAGTTCTGAGGCGCCTGAAAAGGCACTGACCTGGAGAGAGGGTGGTTGTCACAGCCCATGAAGATCTGCCCTCGCGACCGCGCTGCTAGAATGGTTGCACTGAGGGATGCCGCGTCCTGCACGTGCACAGGGGAGTGGAAGGAAGGGAGTCAAGCAGGGGGCAGGGGCAAGGTGGGGATACCAGCAGGGGGCAGAGAGTAGGGGGCAAGTCGCAAGAGGCAGAGGTACAGAATTGAGCCGTATCTGAGAGGGGAATGATGTGGCTGCCACATACCTCATAGCTAATGAGGTTCAGGATGTGACCCGGTCGCTGATCCACCGTCCCCTGTCGCAGCCAGTACGTGTGTGCGCCCCTCTCAAGAGTGTACAGCCCCTCCAGACGCACCACATTGCCGCTTTTGGAGTCGACTCAGAAGTAATCTCGGCATGATATGGCTGCCACATACCTCATAGCTGATAAGGTTGAGAATGTGATCAGGCCGCTGATCCACCGTCCCCTGTCGTAGCCAGTACGTGTGTGCGCCCCTCTCCAGAGTGTACAGCCCTGCCAGCCGCACCACGTTGCCACCCGCCTGCAGGGCGGCGCCTTCGGCTTTTAGCAGCACGTCGACACGCGGGCTGGCGCCAAGCGGCACGGTAGGCGCCCCCTCGGGGCAGAAGGAGTTGTCAGAGACGGCGTAGACGGCGCTGCTGGACGTGAAGAGGAATGCACCCGTGCCGTTCCATAGGGCCGCTGCTGCCCTGCCATGTGGAGAGGGAAGGGGCCGGGAGAAGGGGTGTGGTGATGGTGAAGGTGTTGGGAACACGGTGGGCAGAAGGAGTTGTCTGAGACGGCGTAGACGGCTGCTGCTGTGCTGTTGCCGTTCACCAGACGGAGGTGAACAGGAATGCCCCCGTGCCGTTCCACAGGGGTGCTGCTGCCCTGCCATTGGGAGGGGATGGGGTAAGGGAGAGGAGAGACTGGAGCGGAGGGACAGGGACACGGCATAGACAGCGCTGCGGGACGTGAAGAAGAGGGCGGGTGTGCCGTCCCACGGCGTTGCTGCTGCCCTGCAATAGGAGGGGAGGGAAAGGGCACGGGCAAAGAGGGAGGGAATTGCCAGGGGGTAGCTGTCAGACACAGCATGGACGGCGCTGGTGGACGTGAGGAAGGCGCCCGTGCTGTTCCACAGCGTTGCTGCTGCCCTGCCATTGGGGGGAGGAGTGGAGGAGGGGTGGTTTCTAGGGAGGTATTGTTGGTGAGGAGGCATGAGACAACCCCTGACGCGAATGGAATTTCGCCACAGGGGGAAAGGAGAGAAGAGTGATTGGTCACAGGGAGATTGTTTTCAAGGAATGAGGCATGGAGAAACGAGAGTGAAGAGACCAGAGGGGTGAGGAGGGAGGGAAATGGAGAGGAGGCGTGGAGAGGCAAGATGGGAGGAGGGAGAGAAGGGACGATAGAAGAGGAGCTTTGAAAGTGCCTGCATCTCACCTCACATCTCCCTCGTAGTCCTGACTGCCGCCCGGTGGCGCGCAGAAGATGACAAACGGCACGCCGCCCGTGATCGCGTCATTGCTGACGTCACGGAGGATGGGGAAGACGCCCATGGACCTGAGCTGCTCGTGGCGTGTGTCTGACCGCGTCTGCCCATACACCTTGGCCCCTGGGAAGCGCTGAGAGGGAGGGAGGGGCGAGCGAGGGGCGAGAGAAGGGTGATAGAGGTTGAGAGAGGTTCAGAGAGGTGAGAGAAGAGAAGGGAGACAGGAGCTGCTCGTGGCGTGTGTCTGACCGTGTCTGCTTGTACACCTTGGCCCCTGGGTAGCGCTGGAGAATGAAGAGTATGAGAATGGAGGCGGAGGGGGGGAAAGAGAGAAGCAGAACGAGTGCGGAAAACAGCAGTGAAGCAGTGGCAGCACGCAGCGCAGCAGACTGCTGGATGAGAGCACGCTGAAGTGGGCTGCTGGGGATGCCGCTCAGTTATTGCTACAGCGTGCCGGCGCCCACAATCAGCAGAGTCTTCTCTTCTCGATCACATCCACCCATGCCCCCTCCGCTGCTGCTGCCACTGCTGACGCTGATGCCACTGCTGCTGGTGGTGATGCTGAAACGGAGGTTGCTGGGGGAGGGAGTCTCCCTCTCCCTGGAGGAGGAAGTCTCTGTCTCTCTCTCACCTGCTGCCATTGCTGCGCCACGAGTGACCCCAGCGTGCCGGCGCCCACGATCAGCAGAGTCTTCTCGATTGCGTCAACCGATGCCCCCTCCGCTGCTGCTGCCACTGCTGATGCCGATGCTGCTGCTGCAGCCATGCCTGCGGGGAAGAGCACGGATGGAATGAAAGCAAATGGCATTAGAGACAGACATGTCATGCATGTGTCATGCGCACAGAAAAGGAACATCGAGAATACATAACCAGCCTTCTCTCCTTCAGGTCCATATTGGTGTGACTTTTGAGAATTCTCAGAAGTCCTCCCACTCCCCGCCTATCCCCCCCTCCGTCCCCCCCACCTCGCCTACTTCTCATCTTCCCACGCTTCCCCATACCTCCCCCTCCCCCTCATCTTCTCTTAAGGAGCCCCGCTTTTCCCCCACCCCACCTCCCGCGCCAGCCTGCGCGCAACCGCTTCCTTGCAGCGACGCCAGCGGCAGCAGCGCGGACGCAAGCAGCAGCTTCCGCCGAAGGGGGGAGGGGAGCGGGGAGTCGGGGGATAGTGCTGATGATGGGGCAGCGGGGGGAGATGACGAGACGGTCGTACCCGATTTCCTGGATGGTGGTGCGGCTGACGTGGACTTTTGCTGCGGGTTTGCCACACGCGAGCAAGTGGACGGGTGGATGGGGTGGACAGAGACAAGATGTATTTAGCCTCCATTTAGACGCGTTTCGTACTTAGTGTAAAGTGGTATCTATCATGCACGGAAGAGCCGTCTATCGTGCAACGAACGGACATTGATCCTGAACCGAAGGGCATCCATCACGAGCTGAGAGAAGGTCGCTCATGATACCGACGGCACGCTGGTCAATCACTGATACCAAGGGTGATTTTTCCGTGTAAGGCGTCCACTCACTCGTGACGAGATACCGACGGCACGTTGGCCTTCAGAATTCAACGCACATAGACCCAGCGATGCCGGACGGACGGAGATTCCGGCGAGTCCTCGCCTGGGACAGCCAGGCACCGAGCACCGCGAGCAACATGTCGCATGTCAGCGAATCAACCCAGGTTTAACGGGATTAAAATGTCGTGTAGACGATGGCAGTTTCAAATGACGCGTGCGGATGCAAGAAAGGGAGTAACACAGCTCGACCGCTCCGAAGTCCGCCGACATTGGAGTCTCAGCTCCGTTACCGTTACCTTTACCGTCATTGTTATCGTTACCTCACCTGAGATCCTTGCCGAGGAAAGCGCTCTGGAGAAGTGCAGCAGGGGCCAGGGCCGATGCCATCAGGGACGAGGCTACGGACAGCAATCGGAATTGCGAAAACGCGACGGCGACCAGCAAATGCCTAACGAGCTGCTGCAAAGCAGGAGGATGATTGAATGCACAATGCTGGATACAAATGATTTTGTAGAAGCTTGGGAGTTCGAATGTGGATCGTTGAGAGAAGCTGGTCAGCCTTGGAAGAATCGAAGTTGAGCGTTTGTGAAGCACGCACTTTTTGCGCGATAAGTTGCGACGGACTGTACACTAATGTGCATTCGCTTATACGGCAAGAAAGTGCACTTTTGGAGATTCTTGCTTTGGTGAGCTGTGTGATTCTGTGCCAACGTGGAGGGGAAGTGTTCCAAAGCGAATCGCCCTGGAAACATCTCCAGGTATGATTCTCCGCCACGTCGGACAACTTGGATTTCACTGCCCTTGTTGAATCCAACCCTGCCCAACCAGAACCCAGCAGGTTTTATTTTCGCCTGCTGCAGTAATCTGGCTTGACTCTCCATCCACCCAGCACCTTTTCTCACAAATTGCCATTGTTTGATCCCAGTTTCGGATTTGCCTCTCTGTGAACGACGTAACTTAGCTTCCAATTCCGATAGATTGTAACTGGCAGTTGTCTACAATCCTCACTGTTCTTTGCTCGCCTTGGACGTACGATTTTTCCCGTCGAACTTTGCTCTCTCGGCTGTTTGTTGGGACTGTTAGAATGGCGGCGCTAGCTAGCGGCGCGTCTTTGGTCGTTCCTACTGCGTGCACAGCCGCAGGAAAATCCTCCCTCGCTTGCTCATCGTCAAGCGTTTATGGCCTTCCTGCTCTCCAGATTCGTTCTAGACGTGCCTCGGCTAACGCATCGAGCCGCAGCTTTCAGAGAAAAGTACGTCATAGTTGGCAGAGCTTGGCCTCGAAGGGTTTTTTTTGTAGAGTGGCTAGATTGTGTCGGCCAACTTTGCGATATTGTTTCAATCGCCTCCCCTCCCTGAATTTGCGGTTTTACGTTTCTGATTTTCTACACAGAATCTGCAGATTATGGCAGCGACTGATTTGAAAGAGGAAATGGTGGAGTTTGCCAATGCTGAGAAACGGTGGAGGACTCAGGTGCGTGTCTGTTGACTGTCCTCCGGATGTATTTCTTCTGCATATTTAGGGAATTATTGCTCAAATTGCTGTTTCTGCAGATTGCCGAGGGCAAGGTCAAGTCACTGTCTGCGAAGGAAGCGGGGTACACTTACCAGCTGTCCGACTACGTACTGCTTGACGTGCGACCGTCGTATCAGCACAACAAGGTTAGTCGGGTTGCAATCCGTCGGTTCTCTTTGCTCTGACAACCTTCGCGTAGTAAAATGGACATATATTTTTGCAATTCCAAGTCGTTCCTCCGCTTTGCAAACCCGCTATTGGTTTCATCGGTTTCAGGCTTGGGTAAAGGGCTCCCTGTGGATTCCTGCCTTCGACGTCGACAACAGTGCCAGCCCAGGGGTCTTGTCCCAGAAAGTGATGACCTTCATGATGGGTGAGTGCCTTGGGGGATTCAGTTTTTGTTAGAGGGAATGCATGATTTTAGGCCTTTTGTGATTGTTGATTTTCTCCAGTTACAATGAAAGCTAGTTGTCGTGAACACACTTGCGCAATACTGAACGCACAAATCTAAGTTGTATTAGAGGAATCAGACGAATCGCTGCTGCGGTTGACACGTCACATGCCCTCAATTTTTATGGTACACTTCGCCAACTTCTGTCACTCTTTTGTGCCATTCCAGGAGGATGGTGGTCTGGAGCGTCAGTAAACAAGAGAAACGAGTAAGTTGCTCCTTACAAGTGACATCCTAGTTGATAAAGAACAATTGACATCCGTAGCCTTGCCTAGGAAGCTCTGATCGCCAGTTCCTTCCAAACCCTTCTCGCTTTCTGTTACTTTTCCCTGATAGAGGGTTCTTCCTGTAGTCTTGATATGACAGCCTTTTGTTCCTTGTTGCAGGCGATTCATGGCTGACGTTGTGGCAAAAATTCCCAAGAGTGCCAACATTATTGTTGCGTGCCAGAAGGGTTTGAGGTAGGCACTTCCTTATTCCAGAGTCAGTGTGTATTTCGCGGTCTTTTACTGCAACTGCCCTTATCCAACACTGAACTCTCCGTACTGCAATGTCTTGCAGATCTCTTGCAGCATGTGAGCACCTTTACAAGGCTGGCTATAGAAATATCTATTGGCTAACTGGTGGCTTCGACACTGCCAGTGACGAGGTACCTGCAATAAGTTTCCCATTTTGGCATCCCTGTTAGTGCCACCTCTGCTATTTCCATGTATCACCTATCCATATTCCTGCTCATCACATTCTTGACGTCAATACAGACATGTTTGATGGTACAATGCTTCAACTCATTACATTGTTGTGATAACCTGCTGAGTTGCACTGTGGCGGCTTGCTATTGCAGGACTTCGAGCGGGAGGGTCCTGTTCCCCTTCAGTTGGCAGGCATTGGAGGCATGTCTGAGTTCATTGGGTACGTATATTCTGTAGGAAATGTTGTGTCGGCCTTCTGACGGAAGCCCTGACTTACGGTATATTTTCTTATTGGTTTCGCTTCATGCAGCTGGACTGATCCTCAACGCCGCCTTGCCAAAACTGAGGGATGGCAGTACCGTGCCACCTTTTTCGGCCGACTGGTATGTCGTAGCTCTATGGTTCATCACATGTTTTAACAACCTTATTTTGGTTATCTAATGGTATCTGTGTATGTGCCATGTTTCAGCTTGTGGTGTTTTTGGCTGCGGACCTTGCTCTTATTGGGTTGCAGCAACTCAGCTCTTTTTTCCGTGAGCTTGGCCAATAAGCAACGTGACTTTTTTTTCGTGGTCACTTATCCATGTTTAGCATGCTTATCTACACTTCTCGCTTCGTGTACATTAGGCTTTGAGCGAGCTTGTGCTGTAGAACTTGAGGTTCCAAGATTTTGTGTGCTGCAACCGAGAGGCCAAGGCGAACCCAATTCCTGTAAGGGAATCTCCTCTGGGATGCCGTGCAAATTCGATTCTGCAGATCGACAACAGTTCGCATCACCTGGACGCTGCTTCAACACCTGTGTACTGTAGTTGCGGGAAGGGGCATTCGTAGGTCACCATCACACAACCACACATGAAGGTGAACCCCGCAAAAATGATAACTGAGGAGAAACTACACCTAGTCACCACTATTTCACTCACTGAAGCTTTTCACCAAAGCGACACCCAACACTGTTTTCGGGACACCCAGAAGCTGGAGGCTATGAATGATGCTGTAATGCGTCGATCTCCAATGACTCCCACTTAGTGATCACATCGAGAGGAGTCAGGAACGCCGCTTCAAATTCGAAACCATCCTAAACGGCTCTCACTTGAGCATAAACCAAGGGTTCCTGCCCATGGTTGTGAAAATAAAGGAAGCAGAGACTGTTGCGGCATGATTCTATTGCCAGTTTCCGCGTCAAGGTGATTACACAGAAGGAAAATCTGGGTCTTCGGATTCCCGGTTGCTCAATTGCCAGATTGACTGGAAGAGAACGCGTTTACGAATGCCACCGTTAGTGCGTCATTCATCGTTGCTCCCATCATCGCATCAACAATTCACTCATCACCATTCGATTCCAGCAATCCCGAGATAGCCTCACCAGCAGAGAAAGAATCCGCCAAAGCCCACGCGACAATCCCGAAGGGCACTCGATGAACTCCTCTCACAACGCTACCCCTCAACTCACGGTCTGCCTGCAAAGCGAAGCCAAGCGAACGTTCTCCACCACCTCCCTTCCTCCCACCACATTCTTGTTCCTGCTTGTTTCAGAGCGCAACCTCACTGTACATCTCCATCTTGCGTTTCAGATGTGACGACGATCCTCGTTAGGTTCCGGATTGATCTCATTGATCCCTTTTGCTCTGCTCCTGGCTTATTTATCGAACCCTCTGGTTATATGTCGATTTCGCTATCTGATTCTAGAGTGCTCGTATCCGTTAGTGGTATGCCTCCCTATCCCTTCCGCAGTCAACAGTATCTAAAAGTGACTCTATTTTCAGGCAGTATTTAAGTGACATATGTCAGAAAAGCACGTGTCATTGTCAGGTTGACACGTGTCATTCCCGTCGCCGCAGTTGCGGCTCGTGACATGGGCTATAGTTGACCATCCGTTCAATTGGACAACTAACGAGTGGTGTCTCTCACGCCTAGAAGCAATCTTCAGAGATTGGTCGTCTTAGTAGCAACTTATTTGAGAGTCGCCAAGTTTCTGAATTCGCTTCAAAGGCGTGATAGTAGAAACCTCGCAACTCACAGCACTATTACTACCCGCCGCTGCGACACTTGACCGCCCTCCGCTTAACCGACATTCAAGTACCGCGAAGTCACCTTGAGGATTCTTTTTAATTGTTTAGACCCTACACGACCGACAGCGTTACTACTGGTACTGCTAGCTGAAAGAATGTCAGGCGGCCCAGCTGGCGGCATGGGCGGGGGAGGGACGAGCAGGGACGGCGCGCAGATGCACCCCGACATGGCGTTCGAATGGGGCTACTCGCCTCGAGGTACGCCTCCGTCCTTCCCTTCCCGGCGTCTCGCACCTCGAGACACGCCAGGAACAGGCGTCTGATCGTCGTAAGCCTGCTGGCCGTTGGCCCTTTATTAAGCGGGTCGAGAGCTCAGGAAATGCCTGTATCTGCTGCCGCTACCCTAGATAGGTAGGCCCACCCAGCTTTGCTTTCCTGCTCCTCATTATGCAGATCTCTCGTCTCTCCGTTCCTCAGTTCGTTCTTTGCTGTTTTAATCTTATCGGCCCCCACCTCGCATTCGCCATCACGCCTTTCTTTCTTGGCTTCCCATCTTTCATTCTTCTCCGTTCTTATCCTCCCCCTTATCCTCCCCCTTATCCTCCCCCTTATCCTCCCCCTTATCCTCCCCCTTATCCTCCCCCTTATCCCCCACCCCTTATCCTCCCCCTTATCCCCCACCCCTTATCCTCCCCCTTATTCTCCCCCTTATCCTCCTTATCCTCCCCCCTTATCCACCCCCTTATCCTCCCCTCCACGCCGCGACATGCAGCCGTGCACTCACCGTCCCGCTTCAGTCGCGACGAGGAGGCGAACCCTAATCGGACCAAGAGCAACCTCAGCCAGCAGCGCACGCTCAGTCTCAGCGCAGCGCGACTCAGCCAAGCCGCGGCGGATCTCGGATTCCACGTCACCGCTTCCGCCAATGCACCACCCGCGGCGCAAGCTGGAGCGTTCCCCGGCTTTTCCCCCGCGGCTGCTGCGGCTGCTGCAGCTGCGCTGGCAGCAGGCGGGGATGCTGGAGGAGGGGGAGGTCTAGGGGGGGGTGTACCTGGGGGAGGTCTCGTTCGGGGCGGGTCGGGACTGGCAGGGTGGTCAGGAGGGGTAGCTGGTGCTGGTGGCCCTGGTCATCTACAATCTCTTACAGTGGATCCGTCTAAAGCGGGGATATCTTCTCGCGGAGCAGGGGGGCATGGCGTGCCGCCCTTGCCGCTGCCGTCTCCTAAAGGGAACGCCGCCGCTGCTGCCGCCGCCAACGCTGCCGCGGGCAAGCTGGGCAGCCCGAGAGGAAACTTTTCCGGGTCGCGGGCAGGCGCGCTGGGGCATTGGCCGAGAGCCGGTTTGCCCGCGAGCATTCAGCAGCAGCTGATGCTGGGGGCGATGGGCGGAGGGGCGGGCGGGGGAGCAGCAGGGGGAGGCGCAGCGGGACTCGCAGGGCTGGGGGGAATGCCGGGCGGTTATGCTGGCGGTGGAGGCGGCATGGGGGCGTTGGGGAATGTAGGGGGAGCGGGAATGGCGGGAATGGCAGGAATGGGGGGAATGGCTGGGCTTGCTGCTTTGAATAGCAGCAGTGATGGCAGCGGCAGTGGCGGAGGCAGTGGGAGCGGAATACCCGGTATGAGTCTGCAGACGCAGTTAAGCCTGCTAGCCGCTCAGCTAGACGGCCGATTAGACGACAACAACCCCCTCTCGCGGACCAGCAGCGCGCCGCCACTTGGCGCGCTTCTCGCCAGCATCGGTGACGTGGCAGAGCTGGAGAGGCTGTACCGATTGCTCCCCGATGCCATGTCACCAGACGTCTCCCCGCACGTGGGGCTGACTTTGCCGTACCAGAGCATAGGTGCGGCGTCAGGCTCTGCAACAAGCTCGGCAGTAGGCTCGGTGGCAACGAGCCCGGACCGGGAATTGCACATGCATCGGCTGCTAGGGAGCATGGGGAGTGGTAGTATGGGTAGCATGGGCAATGGGAGCATGGGCAGTGGCAGTATGGCAGGGTATTTATCGTCAACTGTACCATCAATGGCGGCTCTTATAAGGGAGCGGACGAAGCTCTCCCGCACTAGCAGTTGCCCCCCCCCTGTGGCGGAGGACATGAGCGGGGGCGCGGGGGGAAGCGGAATGGAGGAGCGCGCGGGCGAGGGGGAGTCGTCTGAGTCTGAGGGGGAGAGCGGGCAGCGTGGGGCGGGCGCGGGGCACAAGAGGAAGAAACGCAGAGCTCCGGGAGGAGTGGGAGCGGGAGCTGACGTGGCTGGAAGGAGCGGCGTAGGCGGCAAGGTACTGGCGCGTTTGAAGATTCACTTCATCAATACCATGTGCCTAACAGTGCTCGTGTCTGCCTGCGCACTGTCACTCGTGCACTCGTGCCTGCCTGCGCTCGTGCCTGCTGCGTCTTGTTGCCTGTCCTTCCAGCACACCACTCACCAGCTCTGTCACCCCCCCCACTCCAGTTCCTTCTCCCCCGGCTCCAATCCGTCCCCCTTTCCCCCCTCGTGTTCCCCCCACTCACCGCCTGACCCTTCCCCCTCACGCCTCCGCGCGCCACCCTGCCCTCCAAGTGCAGAGGGAGCCGGAGGGCGGGCTGGGGCGCATCGTGGGGGGCATGGAGACGGCTCACAAGGCACCACGTGTTCCCCCCCCCCCCCCCCCCCCCCCCCCCACTCACCACCTCCCCCCTCCCCCTCATGCGCCCCCCCCATCCCCCACATGCGCTTCTGCCCTCCCCCTTCCCCCTGATGTCTTCTCCGCCACCCTATCCCCCCAAGTGCAGAGGGAATCAGACGACGCGCTGGACGGTGGAGCGCGCCTGAGGTGGTGCGGAGACACTTGAATCGACTCACAAGGCACCCCTTGCCCCCCCACTCACCGCCTCCCCCATTCCCCCCATGTTCCCTCCGCGCCACCCTTTTCCCCCAAGTGCAGAGGGAGCCAGACGACGCGCTGGACGGTGGGGCGCGCCTGGGGGGACGCGGAGGGGGCGGGGTAGGGGGCGGGGGCGCGGGAAGCGGGGGAAGGGGAAGTGCAGGGGCGTGGGGGGGGAGCCCGGGGGGCGGGTACAGCATGCAGGGCGGGGGGATGGGGGGGAGCATGCAGGCGGGGGCGATGGAAACATCGAGCCAGGACTACATTCACGTGCGGGCAAGGCGAGGGCAGGCCACTGACAGCCATAGCCTTGCCGAGCGGGTGAGTGACTTCCATAAGTGGGTTGGGAGGAGGCTTGGGGGAAGGAAAGGGCGAGGGGATGGGGGGGGGGGGCATCCAGGGTGGGGGCGATGGAGAGATCAAGCCAGGACTACATTCACGTGCGGGCAAGAAGAGGCCAAGCCAAGCCACTTATGTGAATTTTACTTTTGAGAATTCTCAAACGTAAAATTCACATAGGCGATGGAGAGATCAAGCCAGGACTACATTCACGTGCGGCAAGAAGAGGCCAAGCCACTGAAAGCCACAGCCTTGCCGAGCGGGTGAGTGGCGGCATTTGCGGGGTTGGGGAAGGGGAGGATGATGGGCAGCAGGTAGGGGCGATCTGGGGTACAATTCCCAGGACTTACATCCATGTGCGGGCGAGGCAGGGGCGAGCCACTGACTGGCACAGCCTGGTGGAGCGGAGCGGATGAGCGACGTGACGGTTTTCATGGGGGATGGGTCCATGGGGGATGGGTTGGGGGGAAGTGGGAGGCGGGGGGGGGGCGTTGATCCCCAGGACTACATTCATGTGCGCACGAGGAAAGGGAGGGTCACTGCCTGGCACCTTTTGAGGCGCCTCAAAACATGAGACGACTTTTGAGGCGCCTCAAAGCATGAGACGACTTTTGAGGCGCCTCAAAAATGAGGGGGGGCGTCGATCCCCAGGACTACATTCATGTGTGCACGAGGAAAGGGAGGGTCACTGCCTGGCACAGCCTGGTGGAGCGGAGCAGATGAGCGACGTAACAGCAGGGTGAGTGAGAGCGTTGGGGAGTTTCGGGGAGTGTGGGTTTGTGAATTCAGGTCACTATATTGACGTGTGGGCGATTGTAAGGCAGCTTCACAGAGAGGGTGCGCGATGGCCTTGGAGGATAGGGTTGGTGAGGGAAGAGGGGAGGAGGAGGTGGGGCACCAGGATTCATTTCACCCGTGCGTGGGGCAAGGGCGCGCCACTGACTGCCACAGGGGTGAGAGGGGAGGTTGCAGTGAAGGGGGGTTGGGGTGAGGGGGGAGGTTGGGGTGAGAGGGGGTTGGGGTGAGAGGGGAGGTTGGGGTGAGAGGGGAGGTTGGGGTGAGGGGCGGTTGGGGTGAGGGGGGAGGGTAGGTTGAGACGGTGGGTTGGGATGAAGGGGCACAGCTAAGCACTAAGGGGCTTGACGTGCTTTGCCACCCTGAACTCTTGCCGTTCTGTGCTGTGCAGGTGCGGCGGGAGAAGATCAGCGATCGAATGAAAGTGCTGCAGAGCCTTGTTCCCACCTGCACCAAGGTGTGCGCACTTCCCCTATTCCTCTTTCTCCTACCTGCGCTCACTGTTCTACCTCCGTCCCTCGCAATACGTAGTTAAACATGCCATGCAGGGCTGCCTTTCTTTAAGCGCCTCAGCAAGATCCTCGTACTGGGTGGGAAGGGTAGCATCTAAATGCTTCCTCTCGTTTCTTGCCCATCCCCCTTCTATGGATGTATGCATGGTGGTGTGCATGGTGGGCATGCATGTATGGCATGCATGGCACCAGGCAACAGGCAAAGCAGTGATGCTGGATGAGATCATCAACTATGTGCGATCTCTGCAGCTGCAGGTCGAGGTGAGTCTGAGGGAATACGTAGCAATCATGAGAGCGTGAGAGTTGAAGCAACTGCATGCAGTCGCTGCACTTGGAGGTCGAGGTCCCCATTCTCATTCTCCCATCCTATTTTTGAGGCGCCTCAAAACCCTCCTCTTCAGTTCCTTTCTCTCTTTTTTTTTGGAATTGTCAAAAAACTCATTCATCCTTTCTCCTCCCTCTTTATCCACTTCTCCCTTCTGCCCCACACAAAGAATTTTGCGTTCAATCCTTCTTGCCCACTCGAACCCTCACTCAACTCCCCACCCTATGCAATCTTCGTTCTCTCCTCGCCCCCTCTCCTCCACTCCTCGCCCCCCTAGCCCCACCCCTTACTTCCTCATGCCAACCTCACCCCGCTTCCTTTCTGCCAACCCTCCTTCCTTTCCTTTTCTCCCTTTTCCTTTCTGCCTCCTTTCCCCCCTTTTCCGTTCTCCCAACCTACCCCCCTCCCTGTCACCCCCCCAGCTGCTGTCGGCCAAGCTAGCAGCAATAGAGCAGGACACTGCAGAGATGGACGGCTCAGATTCACCCGCCGACTTTTGTGCGGCCCAGATGGCAGCACTGGGAGGGCTGCTACTCCCGTCCGCCCCCGCTTCTGCCGCTGCTGCTGGCACGGGGACAGGTGGAGGTGGAAATGCCACTGCTATGGGTGGCGGTGCCACTGCTGCTGGTGCTTCGGCTGGTGCTGGTGCTTCTGGTGGTTCTGGTGGTAGTGCTGGTGCGGCTGCTGTGGCTGCTGCTGCGCTTGCAGGTGGATCGTTCCGGCAGGCATCTCCGTCCTGCTCCCAGTCTCACGATTGGTCGACCACTGATGTGAGCTCTCTACCTTCAATTGGTCGACCACTGATGTGAGCTCTTAGCCTGCTCGTGTCAACAGTAACGCCTTCGGATGTCAAGCTACGGCCCGCTCATGTCGGCTCTCACGATTGTCGATGTCAGCTCTCACAATTGCTGATGTCAGCTCTTACGATTGCTGATGTCGGATCTAAACCATGCTGAATACTCCCTTCCAGTCCCATGTTATTCTCTATCTACATGGCACCTTTCCCCTTTCAATCCTCTAACTCTCTTCTTCCATCCCGCCGCCCCCACCCTCTCAACCCTCTCACCCCTCTCCCCACTCTCCGCCCTCTTTTCTGTCTCCCAGTCGGCCCATCACAGCACAGCATCGCCCATGGCCACACCATCAGCATCAGCGTCACTGGGAGCAGCGGGCGCCCTGCACCCGGACATGGCCTTCCTCCCCACTGACCTCGCCCGCCTCCTCCTCTCCCGCCACCTGCCCAACCTCCCCTTTGCGGGAGCCGCTGGGGCGGCGGGGGGAACAGGAGGGGGAGCAGCTGGCGGGGAGGAGATGAGGGGAGATGGCGGGGGAGGAATGGGGGGAGGAATGGGGGGAGGCGGAGGAGGAATGGGGGGAGGCGGAGGGGGAATGGGGGGAGGCGCGGGGGAGGGGCTGGGGGAGCTGACAATGGAGCAGCTGCAGGCCCAGCTGGATGCCATGAATGGGGTAGGCGCGGCAGGGGCAGGTAGAGGGGGAGAGGGGGGCCTGCCACACATGGGTGTGCAGTGTGAGGTGGGTGCTTAGGTTGACTGAAAACTCACTGCGAAGTGAGGTGGGGCGTGCAGTGTGAGGTGAGAGGTGGGGCATGGAGCAGGTTGGGGTGTGCAGTGGGTGGGGAAAGGCTCCACCTGTAATGGCTCCACCTGTAATGGCTCCACCTGTAATGGCTCCACCTGGAATGGTTCCACGGCACAGGTTTACCTGCATGTGACTTGAGTCCTGCAGCACGGATTTCTCTTGCGCTGCTCTCTGCTCATCATCTCCTTCTCTTTTCCCTCTTTGCACCTCTGCTTTCAGTCACCTCCCCAGAATCGCCCAGCTTATTCCCTTTCTCGACTCCCCTCCCCCAACAATGCCCTTGAAGAGCCACATGGAAAGTTAGAAGTCGATGCAGTAGGCGCTGCTTTCGAAGGGCCCCTATTTTCTCCTGCTCTTCCCCCCGTGCCTCCCTGCTCCTTGCACCCACTCTCTGGCTGTGGGCTGGTTGGCTTGAGAGCATAGTAGCAGCAGCAGCAAGGTGACTTTTGACTCGATTCAAATGCCCCCACTCCCCTCATCCGTTTCTTGAGTCCATTCAAAAGTCGACTCAAAAGTCGACTCAAAAGTGGACTCAATAGACGACTCAAAAGACGACTCAATAGACGACACAACTGAAGAGTCGACTCAAAAGCTCCCCCCCGTGCCCCCCATGCCCCTCTTACCGTGCAGTAGGATCGTGGGCTTGAGAGCATAGTGGCAGCAGCAGCAATGTGACTATTCAGTCTTCTCAACCCCCCCCTCTCGTGCCCCCCATGCTCCTCTCTCCCACCCACCCTCGTGCAGTGGGATGGTGGGCTTGAGAGTGTAGTGGCAGCAGCAGCTGCCATGTTACTTTTCAGTCCACTCAAATGCCCCCCCGTGCCCCCCATGCTCCTCTCTCCCACCCGCTGGCAGTGGGATGGTGGGCTTGAGAGCATAGTGGCAGCAGCAGCAGCCATGCCGCCTTCCCAGCAGGCCCAGTCAGCTTCAGGCAACAGCCACTCCGCCAATAACCAGCCCGCGTCAGGTACGCCGTATCACACCAGCTAAACCGCACGAAACCACATCTCACCACATGATAATCATCTCCCGAACGCCTCTTGGAAACCAGCTTCTTCTGCTCGCTAACCTGCTCTCCCTGCTCACCTCTGTCTCCTGCTATCTGTCCCTCCGTGATGCAGGATCACCCTCCCTGTCCCAGCAGTCGGGTGCGAGGCACTGAACCACACCACACCATGCATTCTTCCTTCCATTCCAAGCCCACCATCCATTCCTTTATTTCAAACTCACTGCATCGAAGGTGATAGCCCTTGGCACCCCGACTACACTTCGCAGTGTAAATCTTCTCGAGAGATTTGACCGAGTTATGGTTGGGATTTAGGGATACTCGTTTGATGTGGTTCTTGCCTGAAAAGGTGTACCTTTGGCCTGCAAATTGCAGGCTGCTGCAGAAGTACAAAGCTTAGGTAGTGATAGTATATTGTGTTAAGAGGTGTAGTTCCTCCTTTCATAATGTCGTTGTTCCAACCACTCGATAGTGTGGCATGTGACGCGTGTTGTTGTCAGCGCACTCAGCGGCATGCAGCGCGAGCCGCGCATTAGCCCCTCAAAATGTCGCGATCGCCACCGCCATTGGCATTTCCTGTCCTCCTCGACTCCGCCATAGTTCCCTTGAAACCCAGCTGCGGCTTGGAGGAGTGAAGTGCGGTGTGTGTCTCCGCGCCGCATGCGCAGAGCCGATCGATACACATAGCCAGCAAGCATGTCGTCTCATCTCTCTCACACTCGTTCATCATCGGATGAAACCGCTCCTTCAAGCCGGCAGCTACGCTCTTCACCTCTCTCTGTTCGTTTATGGCGTGGTAGTCACATCAGTTCGTTCTCCGCTTCACCGTTAGCTCCACTAGATTTCCCTTCGCATTCTACCACCGCAGCTCCCTCTACTCTTCACCTCGGTCTGCTAGTATCAGCATGGAGTAGTAATTTCAAGTCGTGCGGAACAACTGAATCCGCGCGAAAGAAAGCACTCAGCTCAGTTCGTTATCTTCTCGACCCTTATAAGAGGCTATAGCCAGCGGGCGACAGCATCCTAAGGATGGAGTCATACCAGTCCATGAGCGATTCTCTCCGCGCCAACCTCTCCGCGCTTCACGGCGAGGCGCGCCGACGGCTCCCCGCGGCCCTGGCGAGCGCGCAGGTCGCCTCTGTGTGTTTTGCTGCCGTGCTGGTGCTTGTGCTGTTGCCGCTGGGGCTGTGGATCGGACGGCTAGGAATGGGCGTCAAGATGATCTACGGCTTCGTGTTGGGGATTGCGTGCTCGCTACTGTACTCTTCGCTTGCAATGCGGAATGCGCGACAGAGAGAAAGGAAGGTACAATGCGAGTGGTTTGGGATTAGGTTTCAGTTGGGAGGGGAAAAGTACAGTGAAGTTGCACATCAAGCTCTTTGTCCAAATAATGTGTAACAGTATAAAAATTGACTTAACTGCACTTTCAGGCTTTCATAACAAGTGTGCATGATTGTATTTCTGCAATTTCATTTCGAATTCCAATGAGCAGGCCCTTGTATTGCGGCGGTTGGACTGGGAAATGTCAGTGGACGAGATTCTCCGACTTGCCGGATTCAGCGAAGGGAATTGCACATCCTCATGCCAGAAGCTGCACACCTTTCAGGTAATGTTTAGAGTGAAGAGACCGCGTGATGGCGCTCATTACCTATGCATATTCCCGTGCATACTTATTTTTCTAGGTGCCTAAAACATACTACTGGCCATTCTATTCAGGAATGCTCATTACTCATGTGTTGCATGTGGAGTGGAGTGACTTTTTGGCAGTTGGCGTGGGTGAATGCAGCAGTGCGGTATATGTGGCCAGGGCTGCGCAGGGCGAGCACGGAGAGCAGCCTGAGGGGGCTGATCCTTTTCGTGCAGCTACAACACACACCGGCAGCAAACACGCGTGTTGTTACATCATGCTTCCTGTATCGCATTGGTTCATGTCATGTGGCAGCTGGCGTGGGTGAACGCGGCCGTGCGGCAGATGTGGCCAGAGCTGCGCAGGGCAAGCACGGACATGCTCAAGAGCAGTCTGAGAGGGCTGTTTGAGGGGTACCACTTCGGCATCATCACCGGCATTGACGTTCGATCTGTAGACCTGGGGCTCGACCCCCCCACCATCACTGGTGCGACCCCTTCCCCCACCCCCCCCCCACCCCCTCACTGGCACTGGTGCGTGCTGTGTTGTCTTGTGTTGGCCTGACCCCACCTTGGGCATCATCGCGGGCATCGGCGTGCGATCCGTGGACCTGGGACCCGATACCCCCACCATCGCTGGTGCGTGCGAGCTGAACTGTGGTGTGCGAGCTGAACTGTGGTGTGCGAGCTGAACTGTGGTGTGCGAGCTGAACTGTGGTGTGCGAGCTGAACTGTGGTGTGCGAGCTGAACTGTGGTGTGCGAGCTGAACTGTGGTGTGCGAGCTGAACTGTGGTGTGCGAGCTGAACTGTGGTGTGCGAGCTGAACTGTGGTGTGCGAGCTGAACTGTGGTGTGCGAGCTGAACTGTGGTGTGCGAGCTGAACTGTGGTGTGCGAGCTGAACTGTGGTGTGCGAGCTGTACTGTGGTGTGCGAGCTGAACTGTGGTGTGCGAGCTGAACCCCCACAGCGTACGTGGTGTGCTGTGGTGTGCCGTGGTGTGCCGTGGTCTGAGAGGGCTGTTCGAGGGGTACCACTTGGGTGTCATCACCGGCATCGACTCGCGATCCGTGGACCTGGGACCCGATACCCCCACCATCGCTGGTGCGCGCGATCTGACCCCCTCCCCTTCTCCCCCCCCCCACCCCCCACCACCATGACCGGTGCGTGCTGTGCTGTGTGGTGCGTGTGCGCGTTGTTATGCAAGTCTTTATGGACATGTGTATACATTAATCATGATTCAACACGGTTCTTGGTATTCTTCCATCGTCCTTACCTCCTGGCAACCCCCCCGACACCCTCCAGCCGTGCGGGTGCACAGGGGAGCAGCGAACAACGGGAGGGCGCAGAGAGACAAGCAGCGCAGCAGAGCAGGGCAAGCAGAGAATTCCGCAAAGGAAGGAGAGGGGAGAGGCGGAGGAGAGGAGGGGGAGGGAGTGGTAACAGTGGCAGAGGCGAAGGAACAGGCGGAACGGCGGATTCGTGGTGGTGCAGAGGCACAGGTGTTGGGGAAGGGACAGGGGGAGGGGATGGGGCAGGGGGAGGAGCAAGGGCAGGGGGAAGGGGAGGGGCAGGGGAAGGGAGAAGGAGAGGGGGAAGGAGTCTGGGAGGAGACGAGGGGTGGGGCTGAGGTGAAGGAGCAAGGGCAGGGGGGCGATCGAGAAGGCGATGGGGAGGGGGAAGGAGCAACAGAAGAAGAAGTAGCAGGGGAAGGAGTAGCAGGGGAAGGAGTAGCAGGGGAAGGAGTAGCAGGGGAAGGAGTAGCAGACGAGGTGATAGCAGACGAGGTGATAGCAGACGAGGTGATAGCAGAGGTGGCAGTGGAGTGGGTGGAGGGGCGGGTGCAGCAGCGCAGCATGCGGCTGAGAGTGCAGACTGCCATGAGCCCAGATGTGGACGTGCAGGTTAGCAGCATCGCTGCAGCTGCCACGCTGAAACTCACCCTCAAGCCGCTGCTGCCCCGCCTGCCTGGGTTCGGCGCCGTGCTGCTCTCGCTGCTCAACCAGGTGTGCTGATTTCACTTTATACTGAAATTCTGAAAAAAAAAAAAAAAAAAAAATCCAGAATTGCACTGATCCAGAATTGCACTGTGTTTTTTACTGCGTGCACTGCATGCTTGAAGCCCTTCCCCAAGCCAGTCGCCCTTCCTCCATCTCCACCTCCGTTCCACCCCTTGCACTCTCTCACTCCCCACACCTCTCCCCGTGGCAGCCTTTCTTTGACTTCAAGGTGTCGGTGCTGGGCGGCAATCTCAAGGCCATGCCGGGATTTGAAAAGATGATTGAGGTGACATGCGCACTCTTACGCCCACATGCCCTCACTGTCTCTCACACACCACATTGCACTCCTCCCTGCATTTGCACATGATAATAGAATTTCCCACATGTCTATGACAATACCTCTTGCTTTGCTGTGCTTCTCTGCTCTAACCAATGCTTCTCAATACGACCTGACCATCCCTCTCTCACCGCTTCAACATCCCTCCCCTCAGCCCCCCTCCATCCCCACCCCCGCCCTCCTCAACCCATTCCTCCCACCCGCTCCCTCCCCATCCCATACATCTCACTGCATCCCCCTGTTCCCCCGCCCCTCCCCACCCCCCTGGCCACAGTCGGTGCTGCGGCTGTCTATCGACGACTCCCTTGTGTGGCCCTCGCGATGGGTGTACCCTGTTATGGAGGGGGACTTCAGGTAATACCCTGTTATGGATGGTGAATTTAGGTAAACGCCCTGTCATGGAGGGTGACTTCAGGTAGTACCCTGTCATGAAGGGTAAGTCCGACACGTAACACCGTGATGGAGGCTGAGTTCAGTTTATGCCTCATGGAGTTTATGCTTCAAGTAATGCCCTGTCATGTAGAGGGCTTCATTTAACACCCTGTTACAGGCAGAGTCCAAGGCAAATCGCCTTCACTCCCCCCTGCCCCCATGCTTCCAGTTTCCTCGAGCTCACACCAGTTGGCTACCTGGATGTGTCGCTGATAGAGGCGGAGGGGTTGCCCAAGACGGGCGTGCCGACAGGGGCTGCTTGTTTTGAGACGTCTCAAAACAAATCTTTTATCATCTGCCCAAGACGGGCGTGCTGACAGGGGCTGCTTGCCCTCCCTGCATCACACACACATCCTCTTCATTCCCCCAGCTCTCCTCTCTTGTCTTCTCCCCCCCCCCTTGCTTCTGTAGTTTCCTCGACCTCACACCAGTTGGCTACCTGGATGTGTCACTGATAGAGGCGGCGGGATTTCCCAAGACAGACGTGCTGATCCGTTTGCGTCACACGCACATGCCCTTGGATGCCCCCTCTCCACTCGTTCCCCCCCATTCCCCACTTCCCCGGCACCCCCGCAGTTTCCTCGAGCTCACGCCAGTGGGGTATCTAGACGTGTCACTGATAGAGGCGGAGGGGTTGCCCAAGACAGACGTGCTGACGGTGCTATGGTCTCATTCGCTACACATACTCATCGCCTTGCTTCCCCCTCTCCCCTCTCTTCCATTACCATACGCCCCCTCTCCTGCAGTTTCCTGGAGCTCACACCAGTGGGGTACCTAGACGTGTCGCTGATAGAGGCGGAGGGGTTGCCCAAGACAGACGTGCTGACAGGCGCTGCTGACCCGTTCGTGCTGCTGTATGTGCGGCAGCGGGAGGGGGCTATCAAGCGCAGCAGCACCATTCACCACTCCCGTCACCCCACGTGGAACGAGGGGTTTATTCTCGAGGTGGGGGGGATTCATTCCTGATGTAAGAAGAGTTAGCAGCAACAAGGCAGTGCTTTGAAGTGGGCGTTCATCTTTGAATCAAGAGGGATGCGTGCGGTGGTGTAGCACCACTATTGGAAACTGAAAGCACCGCGCGGTGCAGTAGCCTAGCCTCCATTACTGCACTGATTTTCAGAATGATACATTACCGCTCGGTGCAGTGCAGTACCATGCGAGTCCTGAGAAGACTTCTCAGAACTTGCAGCAATGGTCGAACGACTAGCCCCTGCACTGCATGCCTCTGCTGGCATGCAGCATGCATGCTCCGTGCATCACCCTGCACTGCAGATGTTCCCCACATGCCCACTGCATGCCCCTGTTGCTCTGCTCTATCCTACTGCCCCTTACAACCGATTTCTCACGCTTTCTCTCTCCCCCCCACCACCATGCAAGCAGGTGGAGGACCCAGACTCGCAGCAGCTGACCATCCAGTTCATTGCTCATTCCTCTCACCCCCGTGTCCCCTCATCCATGCGTCGCCTCTTCACTCCCTCTTTCCCCCTTTCACACTCCACCCCTCTCCCCCTGGCACAGGTGGAGGACCCAGAGTCGCAGCAGCTGACGATCAGGCTGATGGACAGCGAGCGGTTTGAGAAGTCGGAGTTCATAGGAGCGCACATGCTGCCTCTCCACACGGTACGAGCGCACATGCTGCCTCTCCACACGGTACGAGCGCACATGCTGCCTCTCCACACGGTACGAGCGCACATGCTGCCTCTCCACACGGTACGAGCGCACATGCTGCCTCGAGAGGGAGAAAAAACCAAGGGAAGAGGCTCAAGGGGCTAACAATGTCCTCTGGGCCAGCCTGAAGTTGAAGGAGGAGGGAGCGAAAGAGTTTAAAGAAAGGCTGCTAAAATAGAAGGGGGGCATGCGTGAGGCAGAGCGGGCGGGAGAAGAGTTGAGGGGGATGGCTGAGCGTATGAGGGGCTGGTTGAGGTTCTGATCAACTAAGTAGAGTGAGTGAAGGCTTGGGGGTGCAGGAGGAGGGAGGGAGTGTGGGACTGGGGGGATAGGCGGAGGAAGGAGTGAGTAGGCAGGAAGAGGAGGAGAGTTTGAGTCCCTCAGCTCCGTTTTCTTTCCCCTTCTCTCCCTTCCCATCCCAACCACACCCCAACAAGGAATAAGACCTCTGACGAGACCTGTACAACAAGTCTGAGACTAACTCGCCTCGTCCCCGCTTTCACTTCAACTCTCTTTTGATCTCCCCTTTCTCTTCCCCCTCCCGTTTCTTCCAGCTACACCCCAACAAGGCACAGGACCTCTGGCTCGACCTGTACGACAAGCCCGAGACTCCTGAGAGTGCGAGCACACACGGGCGCGTGCATGTGGTGGTGATGTTTGTACCGTACACGCATCGAGAGGGGGGGGGGGGAGAGTGCTGCGGAGGGGAAGGAGGGAGGAGTTAGTGCAGTTGGGGAGGAGAGAAGGAGGAGCGAGGTGGAAGCAGAACAGAAAAGGCCGGACAGCAGAGGGGATGGGGGAAGAGCAGGAGGTTAGAGAGGTGGCCAAACCCTCGTGAGAGTGCGAGCACACACGGGCGCATGCACGTGGTGGTGATATGTGTGCCGTACACGCAGCGAGAGGGGGGAGGGGGGAGGGCTTCTGAAGGGGGAACGGAGAGACAAGTTGTGGGGAGGAGAGCAGCGGGGGTGTAGTGGAAGCAGAGGGGGAAAAGGTGGACAGCATAGGCAGTGGGGGACGAACGGGAGGATAGACAGGTGCTGAAACTCTCCCTTGAGAGTGCGAGTGCACATGGGCGTGGGCATGTGGTGGTGATGTATGTTCCGTGCACGTTTTGAGGCGCCTCAAAACTAGACTTCTCTCACGCGGATTGTATGTAGATAGGATTTTTGTTGCTTGGAAAATGGGGTGTAGCTTATCAAGGCTACTGGTGCGCGCGCGACTCTCTAGTTTGCGAAGTGGCGAAGATGCAGGCCCTGTTACTCACGAAGACACTGTCGAGGAATGAAGACGTGGCTCCTTGGAAGTACCAGGGCAGTTTGGATTGGTCCTCACCTTTTTGGGTTGACCAGGGTGAAGATAGCCTAGGGATTTGTACATTTCGGTGGTTAGCCTTGCTTGCTTTGCTTTAGAAGGCTAGGCCTCGCTCACATTCTTTCATTTGGCACTGATGAAGTGCTTGCTGGGGGCTTCCCTACAGCCGAAACATGTTTGTCCGTGTTTTAGCCACTGCTTAGTGAAGAGCTCCGACTTTACAGAACCCTACGCGAATCAGCTAGGATTGTACTACAACTGTTTTCTCCTTTGCTAAACCTTCTCCTTAGAAAATGCTGCTCGCTGGAATGTCTGAACATACGCGTGGGCATGTGGTGGTGATGTATGTTCCGTACACGCAAATGGAGAAGAGATGGGGGATTGCTGCTAAAAGGGAACATGAAGGGAGGATTGTTGCAGAAGGGAAGGGAGTGCAGTTGTGGAGGAGAAAGGAGGGGGGAGTGTGGTGCCAGCAGGACAGGCAGTGGAGGGGAGGAGTTGGGGGGGGGTGATAGATGCTGTGCGGTGATTGATAGGAGGAGGGTGCATGCATGACGTGTGTAAATGTGTGTCTTGGAAGAGGTAGGGCCATCTGTAATGACCAATGCAGCAACAGCACCTCCGCAAGCATCACAAGTAGTCTCTTTCTCCTACGATCGCATTGACGCAAGCAGCTTAGCTTGGTGAATGAGATTCACGCCAACAAACAAAACTTGCGATCACGGTGGGACTCGAACCCACAATCTCCCGCTCCGGAGGCGAGCGCCTTATCCATTAGGCCACGCGACCTACGATATAGGAAAACAAAAATAAAATTTGATCAAGAAAAGTGTTTCCTGCATGTAAAGAAAACGTTTTCCAGAAGCGAAAAGTGACCTAATAATCAAGTGACATTTCAGAAGCACAGACTAGGCCTCGTTTCATTAATAATAAGCAGATATGGACGAAGACTTCCCGCCGATGCTGGACGTGCCGGGCTTCGGCATTCAGCTACCAGGCAGAGTGAGTTCCGCACCGCGTAGCGCGCCAATGCTAGCTCGCCACCGCTGCGCGCCGTGCTTGCTGTCCTCAGCCGCTGCTGCCTGTTGTCTGCCTATTGCTGCCTTCTGCCTGCCTGTTGCTACGTGTTGCTGCCGTATCCGTTGCCCCCGGCCGGTGTCTCCGTGTCTTACCCGCGCCATTGTTCTCCCCGTCCTCCCCGCATCCGCTCCCCCGCCTCGCGCGCGCGTTTCCCGCAGACCGCGGAAGACAGCAACCTCAACTTCCTGTAAGCTCCCCCGCGCCCCTCTCTCCCCGCGCCACTCCTTCTCCCCCCCCCCCCCCCCCCCCCCCCCTTCCCCCACCCTTCGCTGTCTTTCCCGCCTTTGCCGCTGCCGTTTTTCTCTCATGCACGCAGCCTCATGCAATGCCTTCCCACCTTCCCTCCCTCCCACTCCTCCACTCCTCTGCCTGTCTCCCCATCTGCCTTCCCCCTTTCTCTTCCTCCCCATCCCCTCTCCCTCCCTCATGTACCTTCCCCCTTTATCTGCCTTCCCCGCTTGTCTGCCCTCGTCTCGTCGGGAGAGGCGGGATCACACTGCTCTTTTGAGGCGTCTCAAAATTCGTCTCTTTCCCTCTCCACGTTTCCCCTTCCTCCGCCTCCCCCTCCGCCTGCCCTTCCACGTTGCGCCCACCAGCACGGACAGTGGCACGGCCAACTTCGGGCACGTGGCCGTGGGGAGAGGGGGCCTCAGAGTGCCCGATCAGCAGCAGCAGGTGAGCACTGGATTGCCACAGGACCACAGGTTTGGAGTACCAAGGCACAGGTTCGGATTACCAACGCACAGATGCGTGGAAGCACTGCTAGACATTGGATCCTTCCAGGTAGGTTCCTTACCCCCCAATCCTCCCTCCACTTGCCACATGCACCGATTTCACCACGACCCCTTCCCCTTCCCCTTCCCCTACCCGTTCCCCGTCCCCTTCCCCTTCCCCTTCCCCTTCCCCTTCCCCTTCCCCTTCCCGTTCCCCTTCCCCTTCCCCTTCACCTTCACCTTTGCTCCCCTTTTCCACCTACTTCCCAACCCACCCCTCACAGCACCACGACGCACCCTCCCATATCCCATTTTCCCCTCCACGCACCCCTCCATCCCCTCACAGGAGGCCAATTTCATGCGCCTGGCCTGGCGGATCTGAGAAACATGGAGCTGCTGGGTCGGGGGGCGAGCGCGGCACTGTACCTGGTGCAGCATGTGCCTTCCCTGTCCCCTTTCCCTTAGCCCCAAGACAACCCCCCCCACTCCAACCCAAACCTCCCCTCACCCCCCTCACCCCCCTCACCCCCCTCCGTCCCGTCACAGCAGGACAACTCATTGCGGCTGGCGGATCTGAGAAAGGTGGAGCTGTTGGGGCGGGGGGCGAGTGCAGCAGTGTATCTGGTACAGCATGCGCGCACGGGGCAGCAGTACGCACTCAAGGACATGCAGTTGAACATGGATGCTGATGTGCAGAAGCACGTGGGGAACGAACTCAGGATCAACCACCAGTGCCGCTCGCCCCATGTCGTCCGCTGCTACCAGGTATGCTGGGGTGTGCTGTGCTGTGCGGTGCTATGCGATGCTGTGTGGCCAACTAGTCGTTTTGAGCCATCTCAGAAACCTCTCCACCTCTCTGCACCTCTGCGCACCACCTCTATCCAGGCCTTGGTGGGCGACAGGCACCTCTTTATTGTGCTGGAGTGCATGGACGCGGGGTCGCTAGCAGCACCTCCCCAGCACCCTCCCAGCACCCTCTTAACTTCCCCACCACTCTGCACCCCCTCTGGCCCCTCTCCAGGCCTTGGTGGGCGACAGGCACCTCTTTATCGTGCTGGAGTGCATGGATGCGGGGTCGCTAGCCAAACGTGCTGCAGCTAGTGGGTGGAATCACCAAGCCCACCCTCCCATCCCCTCAACCCCGCTCCACCACTCTGAACCCCTTCTGGCAGGCATTCGTGGACGACGGGCATCTCTTTATAGTCCTCGAACACATGGACGCCGGATCCCTCGCAGACGTACTGCAGGCGGTGGGGCGAATCACGGAGCCGTACCTGGCAGCCATCTCCCGGCAGGCCTTGCAGGGCCTGCGCGACCTGTACCAGGGCCACCGCATCATCCACCGCGACATCAAGCCCAGCAACATGCTGCTCAACCAGTCGGGGTGCTTGAAGATCAGCGACTTTGGCGTCAGCCGCGTGCTCGAGAACAGCTACGATGTCGGGAACACGTTTGCTGGGACTTACACTTACATGTCGGTGCGTTGTTGTGAGGCAGGGGCAGGGGCAGGGGCAGGGTGGGCAGGGTGGTACATGTGACGAATGCTGTTTTAGCACTGTGGTGTCCGATCTCACTCTGAAAAAACAGGGTAAACAGGGTAAGCAGGCTTAACAGGGTAAACAGGGTAAGCAGGCTAAACAGGGTAAACAGGGTAAGCAGGCTAAACAGGGTAAACAGGGTAAGCAGGCTAAACAGGGTAAACAGGGTAAGCAGGCTAAACAGGGTAAACAGGGTAAGCAGGCTAAGCAGGGTAAACAGGGTAAGCAGGCTAAACAGGGTAAAACGCCCTGCAATCCAGAGGCCTGCTCCTGACCACCAACGGACATGATCCCCACCCCTCCCTCCCCATAATCCCTCGCACAACAGCGACGTGTGCTGCTTTTTTTGGCTGAGCCTGCTCGAGTGTGCCATCGAGTGTGCCATCGAGTGTGCCATCGAGTGTGTCATCGAGTGTGTCATCGAGTGTGTCATCGAGTGTGTCATCGAGTGTGCCATCGAGTGTGTCATCGAGTGTATCATCGAGTGTGTCATCGAGTGTGCCATCGAGTGTGCCATCGAGTGTGCCATCGAGTGTGTCATCGAGTGTGCCATCGAGTGTTCCATCGAGTGTGTCATCGAGTGTGTCATCGAGTGTGTCATCGAGTGTGTCATCAAGTGTGTCATCGAGTGTGTCATCGAGTGTATCATCGAGTGTATCATCGAGTGTGTCATCGAGTGTGCCATCGAGTGTGCCATCGAGTGTTCCATCGAGTGTGTCATCGAGTGTGTCATCGAGTGTGTCATCGAGTGTGCCATCGAGTGTGTCATTGAGTGTGCCATCGAGTGTGTCATCGAGTGTGCCATCGAGTGTGTCATCGAGTGTGTCATCGAGTGTGTCATCGAGTGTGTCATCAAGTGTGTCATCGAGTGTGTCATCGAGTGTATCATCGAGTGTATCATCGAGTGTGTCATCGAGTGTGCCATCGAGTGTGCCATCGAGTGTTCCATCGAGTGTGTCATCGAGTGTGTCATCGAGTGTGTCATCGAGTGTGCCATCGAGTGTGTCATCGAGTGTGCCATCGAGTGTGTCATCGAGTGTGCCATCGAGTGTGTCATCGAGTGTGTCATCGAGTGTGTCATCGAGTGTGTCATCAAGTGTGTCATCGAGTGTGTCATCGAGTGTGCCATCGAGTGTGTCATCGAGTGTGCCATCGAGTGTGTCATCGAGTGTGTCATCGAGTGTGCCATCGAGTGTGTCATCGAGTGTGCCATCGAGTGTGTCATCGAGTGTGCCATCGAGTGTGTCATCGAGTGTGCCATCGAGTGTGCCATCGAGTGTGCCATCGAGTGTGCCATCGAGTGTTCCATCAAGTGTGCCATCATTTCCCTCTCAGCTCCCCCCGTTCCCTCCCCCCTGCCCCATCAGCCGGAGCGCATAATGGGCAGGACCTATTCGCACAACAGCGACGTGTGGGTGCGTGGTTCCAGTCACACCCTCCTCTTCTCATTCCCATCCCCTCCGTTTTCCCCCCTTTCCCTCACCTTAACCAGCCGGAGCGCATAATGGGCAGGACCTATTCGCACAACAGCGACGTGTGGGCGTTCGGGCTGAGCCTGCTGGAGTGTGCCATAGGCCAGTACCCCTACCGCCCCGCCTCTGGAGGCTCCTTCAACTATTTCGATCTGCTCTCGGAGATTTCCAACTCGCCGGCTCCCATTGCTCCGCCGGACTATTTCTCGCCGCAGTTCTGCGAATTCGTGGCGCTCTGGTGGGTTGGGTGGTGTGCTTTCCGGCAGGTGGGTGGGCGGTGGATGCAGTGCGGTGTAGTGCAATCTGGTGGGGGCTCTGCTGCTGGTGCTGTGGTGGGGGGATGGGTGGGGAAATGGGTGGGGGGATGGGTGGGGAAATGGGTGTGTGGGTGGGTGGGCGGGTGGGTGGGTGTTCTGCCATTCTGAGGAGGCGCCTTCAGCTATTTCGATCTGCTCTCGGAATTTTTCCAACTCGCCGGCTCCCATTGCTGCGCCGCAGTTCTGCGAATTCGTGCGCGCTCTAGTGGGTGTGCCGTGCAGTTCGTGTGTTCTGTGTCAGTGCGGCCACGTGCACTCGTGTGCGGCCACGTGCACTCGTGTGCGGCCACGTGCACTCGTGTGCGGCCACGTGCACTCGTGTGCGGCCACGTGCACTCGTGTGCGGCCACGTGCACTCGTGTGCGGCCACGTGCACTCGTGTGCGGCCACGTGCACTCGTGTGCGGCCACGTGCACTCGTGTGCGGCCACGTGCACTCGTGTGCGGCCACGTGCACTCGTGTGCGGCCACGTACACTCGTGTGCGGCCACGTGCACTCGTGTGCGGCCACGTGCACTCGTGTGCGGCCACGTGCACTTGTGTGTGGCCACGTGCACTTGTGTGCGGCCACGTGCACTCGTGTGCGGCCACGTGCACTCGTGTGCGGCCACGTGCACTTGTGTGCGGCCACGTGCACTCGTGTGCGGCCACGTGCACTCGTGTGCGGCCACGTGCACTCGTGTGCGGCCACGTGCGCTCGTGTGCGGCCACGTGCATTCGTGTGCGGCCACGTGCACTCGTGTGCGGCCACGTGCACTTGTGTGCGGCCACGTGCATTCGTGTGCGGCCACGTGCACTCGTGTGCGGCCACGTGCACTTGTGTGCGGCCACGTGCACTCGTGTGCGGCCACGTGCACTCGTGTGCGGCCACGTGCACTCGTGTGCGGCCACGTGCACTCATGTGCGGCCACGTGCACTCGTGTGCGGCCACGTGCACTCGTGTGCGGCCACGTGCACTCGTGTGCGGCCACGTGCACTTGTGTGCGGCCACGTGCACTCGTGTGCGGCCACGTGCACTCGTGTGCGGCCACGTGCACTCGTGTGCGGCCACGTGCACTCGTGTGCAGCCATGTGCACTCGTGTGTGGCCATGTGCACTCGTGTGCGGCCATGTGCACTCGTGTGCGCTCCCGTCAACCTACCTGTTTCCCTTCTCGCCGCACTTTTGCAAGTGTGTTGCGCTCCCTTATGCTGGGCCATGTTGAAATCACCCCGCCATTCTCAGTCCACCGTAACAGTTTATTCTCACTGCAGCCCTCTTTATCCAATGCTCGCTTCACCCCCCTTCGTCCGATTCTCAACTCACCCCCTTTATCTTACTCTCACTCCACCCCCTCTATCCCATCCTCCCCTCCCCCTCCCCCTGCAGTCTTCAGAAGGACCCCAGCCAGCGGCCATCAGCAGAGCAGCTTCTTTCGGCTCCTGCATTCCACTCTTCCGGCCCCCCGTCCCCGTTCTTGATCTCCCTTCCCTCCTCCCCGCTCCCATCCTCCACTCCTCCTCCCCGCTCCCATCCTCTACTCCTCCTCCCCACTCCCATCCTCCACTCCTCCTCCCCCTGCAGTCTTCAGAAGGACCCCAGCCAGCGGCCATCAGCGGAGCAGCTTCTTGTGACTCCAGCATTCCCTTCCCACCCTTGGCCCATCTGGATCCCCCTCTGCTTTCCCAATTCCCGCCCTTGACACGTCCCCCCTGCAGTCTTCAGAAGGACCCCAGCCAGCGGCCGTCAGCGGAGCAGCTTCTTGTGAGTCCACCGTGCCATCTGCCATGCCATGCCATGCTGTGGCATGGGCTGTGTGTTTTAGGTGGCATGTGGCATGCGACATGGGTGGCTGGTTACATAGCATGGCGCCTGCATATACGTCTGACTTTCCTATACCCGATTCAAGTGTTTTTTTTGTCTTAAACATCTCCTGGTTTACTGTACTTAGCCTGGCCTTCAAATTTCCTCTCCCCTTCTCCCTGCTGCTGTCTGTCCCTCCCCTCCAACCTCCTCCCCATGACCAATCAGAATCATCCGTTCCTCCACCTACATCCTGACACCAGCCTCCAACCACTCGTGGGCGGCGAGTGATGGCACACTCACTAGCTTCTGTTTCACTAGCCATGCTAGCCTACTAACACTCTTGTGTTATTTTTTCTAATACCTTTCACTCCTGAATTTTGGTGTATTTGCTGATAATTAGGGAAAAGGTGGTATGAATTATCAGACACCATGTCCACATAAGAAATGGAGGTGAACTAGCCTGCAGGATGACAGAAAAACAAAATACATACCCATACTAAACCATCGTATATGCAGGTAGCGTGGCCTAATGGATAAGGCGCTCGCCTCCGGAGCGGGAGATTGTGGGTTCGAGTCCCACCGTGATCGGCCTACTTTCCGTAGAAAACCTCTGAAAGGTTCAACGATTTTGTCTCCTTGTCCACTCTGCTGCTGCTCTCCCCCGGTCTTTTCACATCAAAATTAATAAATAATACAATACTGGACACAAGTTGGAGCCGTACAGATGTAAGGCAGTCCAGCACATGAACAGTTTCAAGAACAGGGCTGAAATCTTTACTCCACTGATGTGCCGGTACCTCCGAATGATCATTTTGGACACTACTCTGCACCACTTACAGCTGATGTTGATTCAGTTCCTGGTGTTGATAAGTTGAATAATAATAAAATTGAATACAGGTTGCAGTCATACAGGAGCGATGCAAGGCAGTCATACAGGAGCGATGCAAGGCAGTCATACAGGAGCGATGCAAGGCAGTCGTACAGGCGCAATGCAAGGCAGTCGGTCACATGAGCAGCTTCAACAACAGGGCTGACGTCTGAACCGTCGTCTTCCACTAATGTACTCCCTGCTGGTCATCCTGACCATTATCCACTTGCTGCAACACCTGGTGCTGCTGCTGCTGCTGATGGAAATCCTGTCGCTGCTGCTGATCCGATTGCACCTGGTAAAGTTGCTGCAGAGACCGATGCCGATCCTCTTCCTGCTGGCCCTGTGCCTGCTGTCTTAGCAAATCCACACGTGCCGCTACTTCCTGCTCCTGCTGCACCCTAGCAGCAATAAGCGGGCACACCACCTTATGCCGGGCCTTCCAGTCAACCGCCTGGCACACGCGGCTGCAATACTTAGCCTCCCCGCACGCAGAGCAGCACCGGAACTCCTGCTTCCTTGTCTCCGATCGCCCGCACAGCTCATTGCAGCACACTCTGAATCCCTCAGGGAGCGGCACGAGCACATGCCAGTCCACCAGGAACTTATGCACAGCAACATGCCACCAGGAGGGCGGCAGGGTGACATGTGGCAGGCAGCAGCAGCGGTGGGGACCGCTAGACCCCGTGCACATGGCCACGGGAGGCCTCTCTGCGTGGGGCAAAGTTTCACTTGCATCTGCACCAACAGGGGCTTGGGTACCGTGTCCAAGTACTTGTGCTTCTGAGTGCTGGATTCTAGACTGATGCGCGTGCTGGGACTGGCGATCTAACTGGTGGTTCTGCGGCTGCTGCAACCCAGACTGCTGCAGAGGAAACTGCCCATCACCCTCGGATATAACTGGTGGTTCTGCGTGCGTTTCGCTTCCTCTCGCCACGTTCTCGCCGCTTTGAAGGTTCTGCAGCACGCTCAAGTCGACTCTCGAACCCGAGGAGGCACGGTGGGGTACAACCTCCCCTTGGAGCGATGCGCCAGACACGCCAGGTGCGTCATTGGTCCAACCTTGGCTCCAGGAACCCGTGCTACACGCGTGCTCGCGTGCAAACGTGCTTGGAATCGCAGCAGCACGCATCAGCACACGAGGTCTTGACGCGTGCACCTCGCCCTTCGTGCTACCCTCTTGCGCACCCAGTGCACAGTTTTCATTTGAACCGAAAGAGCCAGTGCCAGCTGAAGCCACTGGAAGAGCGGCGGGAGAAGCTTGCACGTCACTGCAATTAGACGTCCCGCTCGTCCCGCATTGCGACGCAGCGCCCCGCGGGGCTAATACTAGCGGAGCAACACACCGAGGCACCGCCACGGAGCAGGCAAGCGCGCGCGCCGCCTCGCGAACGTTCGCCTCCTGCAGCATCCGGCGGCCCTCGGGAACGTCCCGCTGCACGCCGTACCCGTCCTGTAGGCAGTGCCCCAGTTCCCGAAGCGCCTCCACGTGTCCCGCGGCCGCGGCGCGCGCGCAGAGCAGAACCCCCGCCACGAGGTCGCGGTCGTGGCGCGTGCCGCCGCTGCCGTTGAAGTGGATGACGGCGAGCGAGTGCAGCGCGTGCGGGTGCGCCGCCGAGAGCCGCCTTGGCCAATAGCGTGGCTCCGTGCTGGTGATCCCCGAGGTAGTAGAACTTGATCTGTGGCAAGGCAAGGGAGAGGATGACCGGTGTGAGTGTTACGCGCAAGAACTATACCGTCAAATTAACAAAATTGTGGAGCGATTGAGGGGAGAAACAGGGGGAGGGGTGGGAAGAGGCGGAACCGTGATAATCTTGCGCGAGGTCGTGGGATCTAGGAGGCTTACCATGCCGAGAATGTAGCAGGCGTCTGTGTTGCCAGAAGTCGCACACTTGTGCAAGAACCTGTGCGACCCTTCGGTCAGGGACCGTGCCTGCATTGCGAGCGCAAGAGGCGACACTTTGCGGAGCACTTGAGCCTGAGTGCCGAGCTCGCACATGCGACGGGACCTGAAGGGCCAACAGAGCAGAAATAACAACGTGAATTGCTTGCCTGGCTGTTTTGAAAGGTAAGCGGTTGAAAGGAAGAAGCTTTACAGCTCGGGACGTTAAGTTTTGGAATGGTTCCTTACGTGAGGAGGACGTTGACGACGTCAGCGGAAGAGTTGGCGCAAGCTACCACCTTCTCCAGTATGCATGTGAGAATCTCATCCTGCAATTCGATAAAAACACTTCGGTCATAATCTTCCACAGAATCCCACGGGAAGTGTTAAAGGTTCTAAGAAAAAAAACCACGCAAGTTCACGGCCTCAGAGAATGCACGTACGGGAAGGTTATCCACGGCCGAAGCCGCGAGCCGTTTGTGAGCTGAAGAGCCTGAAGCCTTTAGCGACATTCGCGTCGAGTACGCTCGCTTGGAAGGTATGTGACGTATGTGGAAAGTAATACCGTCTGCAGCACTTTGATACCCGCCGGTTCTCGTCCGCATAATGACCTGAAATACGAAAGAACCTTTCAAATAGTGAATCACGCCAAGCTTCTTGATAAGACGTTCGTTCGCACCGCACTATGCTGAAACTCCTGCTTTCTTGGTAATAAATCAACCGCCGCAATGCCATGGCTAAGTAGCCGCTCGAAAGGACAGGAAGGGAGGAAGAAGCCGAGAATCGCCGCGGCCAGCGGCGTGCGTGAGGGGGGTGTGTGTGGAGGAGAGAACAAAACCAACACCGAGAATTCGAGGTGCAAAGGCGGTGGTGGTGGGGAGGTGATTTGAGTGTGAGGCAGAATCGAGATACGAGTTATTTGCCTCATAAGCAAATCAGTCCACCTGAAGATTCGTTGCGCCAAGTTGGAACAAGCGCTGATTTGGAAATTCGAACATCCACCTTGATGTTGTTGGATTGAAGCAGCGGGGTTGCTGTTGCCCGCCAGCGCAGAGGCAGCCCAACCTAACCTCGGTGTTTGGGCGTGCCCTGAGTTTTGGACCTTGAGAGAGATGTGGCTCAACAGTTTCGCCAACGTGTCGTTGCATCTGGTAAAGTTGCTGCAGAGACCGATGCCGATCCTCTTCCTGCTGGCCCTGTGCCTGCTGTCTTAGCAAATCCACACGTGCCGCTACTTCCTGCTCCTGCTGCACCCTAGCAGCAATAAGCGGGCACACCACCTTATGCCGGGCCTTCCAGTCAACCGCCTGGCACACGCGGCTGCAATACTTAGCCTCCCCGCACGCAGAGCAGCACCGGAACTCCTGCTTCCTTGTCTCCGATCGCCCGCACAGCTCATTGCAGCACACTCTGAATCCCTCAGGGAGCGGCACGAGCACATGCCAGTCCACCAGGAACTTATGCACAGCAACATGCCACCAGGAGGGCGGCAGGGTGACATGTGGCAGGCAGCAGCAGCGGTGGGGACCGCTAGACCCCGTGCACATGGCCACGGGAGGCCTCTCTGCGTGGGGCAAAGTTTCACTTGCATCTGCACCAACAGGGGCTTGGGTACCGTGTCCAAGTACTTGTGCTTCTGAGTGCTGGATTCTAGACTGATGCGCGTGCTGGGACTGGCGATCTAACTGGTGGTTCTGCGGCTGCTGCAACCCAGACTGCTGCAGAGGAAACTGCCCATCACCCTCGGATATAACTGGTGGTTCTGCGTGCGTTTCGCTTCCTCTCGCCACGTTCTCGCCGCTTTGAAGGTTCTGCAGCACGCTCAAGTCGACTCTTGAACCCGAGGAGGCACGGTGGGGTACAACCTCCCCTTGGAGCGATGCGCCAGACACGCCAGGTGCGTCATTGGTCCAACCTTGGCTCCAGGAACCCGTGCTACACGCGTGCTCGCGTGCAAACGTGCTTGGAATCGCAGCAGCACGCATCAGCACACGAGGTCTTGACGCGTGCACCTCGCCCTTCGTGCTACCCTCTTGCGCACCCAGTGCACAGTTTTCATTTGAACCGAAAGAGCCAGTGCCAGCTGAAGCCACTGGAAGAGCGGCGGGAGAAGCTTGCACGTCACTGCAATTAGACGTCCCGCTCGTCCCGCATTGCGACGCAGCGCCCCGCGGGGCTAATACTAGCGGAGCAACACACCGAGGCACCGCCACGGAGCAGGCAAGCGCGCGCGCCGCCTCGCGAACGTTCGCCTCCTGCAGCATCCGGCGGCCCTCGGGAACGTCCCGCTGCACGCCGTACCCGTCCTGTAGGCAGTGCCCCAGTTCCCGAAGCGCCTCCACGTGTCCCGCGGCCGCGGCGCGCGCGCAGAGCAGAACCCCCGCCACGAGGTCGCGGTCGTGGCGCGTGCCGCCGCTGCCGTTGAAGTGGATGACGGCGAGCGAGTGCAGCGCGTGCGGGTGCGCCGCCGAGAGCCGCCTTGGCCAATAGCGTGGCTCCGTGCTGGTGATCCCCGAGGTAGTAGAACTTGATCTGTGGCAAGGCAAGGGAGAGGATGACCGGTGTGAGTGTTACGCGCAAGAACTATACCGTCAAATTAACAAAATTGTGGAGCGATTGAGGGGAGAAACAGGGGGAGGGGTGGGAAGAGGCGGAACCGTGATAATCTTGCGCGAGGTCGTGGGATCTAGGAGGCTTACCATGCCGAGAATGTAGCAGGCGTCTGTGTTGCCAGAAGTCGCACACTTGTGCAAGAACCTGTGCGACCCTTCGGTCAGGGACCGTGCCTGCATTGCGAGCGCAAGAGGCGACACTTTGCGGAGCACTTGAGCCTGAGTGCCGAGCTCGCACATGCGACGGGACCTGAAGGGCCAACAGAGCAGAAATAACAACGTGAGTTGCTTGCCTGGCTGTTTTGAAAGGTAAGCGGTTGAAAGGAAGAAGCTTTACAGCTCGGGACGTTAAGTTTTGGAATGGTTCCTTACGTGAGGAGGACGTTGACGACGTCAGCGGAAGAGTTGGCGCAAGCTACCACCTTCTCCAGTATGCATGTGAGAATCTCATCCTGCAATTCGATAAAAACACTTCGGTCATAATCTTCCACAGAATCCCACGGGAAGTGTTAAAGGTTCTAAGAAAAAAAACCACGCAAGTTCACGGCCTCAGAGAATGCACGTACGGGAAGGTTATCCACGGCCGAAGCCGCGAGCCGTTTGTGAGCTGAAGAGCCTGAAGCCTTTAGCGACATTCGCGTCGAGTACGCTCGCTTGGAAGGTATGTGACGTATGTGGAAAGTAATACCGTCTGCAGCACTTTGATACCCGCCGGTTCTCGTCTGCATAATGACCTGAAATATGAAAGAACCTTTCAAATAGTGAATCACGCCAAGCTTCTTGATAAGACGTTCGTTCGCACCGCACTATGCTGAAACTCCTGCTTTCTTGGTAATAAATCAACCGCCGCAATGCCATGGCTAAGTAGCCGCTCGAAAGGACAGGAAGGGAGGAAGAAGCCGAGAATCGCCGCGGCCAGCGGCGTGCGTGAGGGGGGTGTGTGTGGAGGAGAGAACAAAACCAACACCGAGAATTCGAGGTGCAAAGGCGGTGGTGGTGGGGAGGTGATTTGAGTGTGAGGCAGAATCGAGATACGAGTTATTTGCCTCATAAGCAAATCAGTCCACCTGAAGATTCGTTGCGCCAAGTTGGAACAAGCGCTGATTTGGAAATTCGAACATCCACCTTGATGTTGTTGGATTGAAGCAGCGGGGTTGCTGTTGCCCGCCAGCGCAGAGGCAGCCCAACCTAACCTCGGTGTTTGGGCGTGCCCTGGGTTTTGGACCTTGAGAGAGATGTGGCTCAACAGTTTCGCCAACGTGTCGTTGCATCCATCCCTCGTGGGGAATTTTGCGTTGGCAAGGTGGATCGATCGCCGTTCGATCGATTTACATCAAGAGCAAATGTTGAAAGCAGCACGGCACGGGCGGACTCGCTTGTCCGCTGAGGTATTTCATTCCGTAATCTCCTGTGTGTGATTTTCTGGAGATTACTTTTGATTCGGCCTTGTCACCTCGCTAAATCGCAGAAAGAACGCGACACCTGCTTGATAACCGTACAGAACCGCAAAAGAATTCTGCCTGTCAAAATGTAATCGAGCCAGTGAGGTCAGAAAGGGCAAAACACACCGAGCAGACTGTTTTTATAGAGTCAGCAAACTGTACACAATTCACCTGACGTAGACGACGTCGAGGCTGACGCATCGACCCTCCAATATACATATCCTGTATAGGCTTCTCCCCAACAATTAAATTGCACCTGACGCGGTGAGTGTGCTCCTGATGCAGAGCACATCACAACAGGAAAAACGCTGTAGTATCAAGATCCAACATGAAGCTTTGGGCCTAGGGCACAACGTGGTGGCAGTAGACACCTACCTAGCATGGGAGAGCTTTGACCAAGCACACGATCGCAAGACAAAGCAACAGTAAGCTATTGCAATCAAAAGGACATCCCCTTCTCTACACAGCTAAAAACAAGCAGCCTGTCATGGCACAATGTTGCTCACTCCAATGGCAACAAACCCCCACACCTGCAGCTAAGAAATGCTGTGCTCGACTTTCCAACAGCCATGCCGTCTTGCAGTGACAGTGAATCCAGCTGCCCGGTTGAGCATGAGACTGAGACCCAACCATGAATGGGATGATCGAAGGATATGGATGAATGGATTGGAGGGCCCAGACAGGCACTGGAGGCGCCAAAGAAAGCCATCATTGATCAGGCCCTGTGCCCCCCAGATAAAGGTCATCTCTGAGAAGGCTCAAGAACGGTTCAAACATGGACAGAGACGAAGAGTGGTTACCCCGACCCGCCGTGCTGGCGCCAGTTGAGGATCATGGATTTGACAGCTCCTCTCAGGAGTCATTATGGACTCGGAAATTCTTCAACCATGAACCAGAAGTCGTTACCCCGACCCTCCCGTCTCGCGCCAGTCGAGGATCATGGATTTGAGAGCGCGGTTGGGCACGAGGGCCTTGGAGGGCAGGCGCACGTTGGTCATGGGCGAGCGATCACTCTTCTCCAGCCACTGCTGTATCGCCACCAGTTCGTACGTGTGCCCGTCCGCTGCTATCACTGGATTCACCATCAGCTCCTGTAATTGGGGGAGGGGGGTTTGGGGGTCAAGGAAAAGCAGGGTAATCAAAAGGGAGCGGACGGATGCAGAGCATCACCAGCTCGTACATGTGCCCGTCCGCTGCTATCACTGGATTCACCATCAGCTCCTGTAATGGGTGGAGAGAGAGGAAAAAAACGGGAGCAGGTGAATGCAGAACAACACCATGTTGTATGTGGGCCCATCCGCTGCTATCACTGGGTTCTGCATCAGCTCCTGCTGGGGAGGGGTTGAAGGCAAAGTGGGAAGCACAAGCGACAAGTTGCACACCCTTGCCACGGCAGGTGAGTGCCAGGCAGGTGAGTGCAGGGCAGGTGAGTGCCGGGCAGGTGAGTGCCGGGCAGGTGAGTGCCGGGCAGGTGAGTGCCGGGCAGGTGAGTGCAGGGCAGGTGAGTGCAGGGCAGGTGAGTGCAGGGCAGGTGAGTGCAGGGCAGGTGAGTGCGGGAGAGGTGAGTGCAGGGCAGAAGAGTGATTGCAGCGAGGGGCACTGCACCTGAGTGATTGCAGCGAGGGGCACTGCACCTGAGTGATTGCAGCGAGGGGCACTGCACCTGAGTGATGGGGCAGAAGAGGCAGGGAGGAGCAGCAGCCACGGGCCGGACCAGCGACGCCTTCTTCGCATCCTCCTCCGCCTTGATCGCCACGCTCCGCATCCTGTCCAGAATCGGCATCACCTCCGTCTCAAGGTCCGGCCGCTTGCGCCTCTTCATCTCGCTGCACTGAATCGCCAGCTTGGCTATCTCCATCGCCATGCCCTGCGGCCACGTGCCGGCTCCCGCATCCAGGAACCGCATCAGCTCGTCGTTCCGGTTACTCTCCACTGCGATTTCCAAGGCTTCGTACAGAGCGGGTGTGCGGCCTGTGAGGAGGTCGAGTAGGACGATGCCGAACGCGTACACGTCGGATTTCGGGCCGAATTCCCCGGTTCTCTGGAACTCCGGGTCGACGTATGCGAACGTCCCCACCGGGGTCGACTCGCGGTCGCACGTCTTCTCCATAGACAGCCCCGGCATAAGCTTAGCCAACCCCACATCCCCTAACTTCGCGACGAAATTCTTATCCAGCAGAATGTTCCCGGGCTTTAAGTCGCGGTGCACGATGGGCACGGGGCGGGTGTGCAGGATGAGGAGGGAGGAGGCGATTTCGGCGGCAATGCGTATGCGGACGAACCAGGGGAGGGGGGGGGTGGAGTGGAGGCGGAGGAGGCGGTCCTCCAGAGAGCCGTTGGCGAGGTACTCGTAGACGAGCACGTAGCGATCGGGACAGCACCCCAGCAGCATCAGCACGTGCGGATGCTGTATCTGACTCAGAATCTCCACCTGATTGTGGGGGAGGGGAGGGGAGGGGAGGGGAGGGGAGGGGAGGGGAGGGGAGGGGAGGGGAGGGGAGGGGAGGGGGGAAGAGGGGAAGGGAGGAGGAGGAGGAGGATAAGAGGACGAGGGGCATGCACGTAAGGGGACACAAAACAAAACGCATGCACCAACCAACGCACCCCAGCAGCATGAGCACATGCGGATGCTGTATCTGACTCAGAATCTGCACCTGATTTTGAGGGGGGGGGGAGGGGAGGAGGGAAGGAGGAGCAGAATGGACGAGGAGGAAGGAGGGGGGAAGGGCGGGGGAGGGGAGGGGGGCAGGGGGAGGGGAAGCGAAGAGGAGGAAGGGAGGGGGAAGGGCGGGGGAGAGGAGGAGAGGGGGAGCAGGAGGGGGATAAGAGGACTACGCTCATGCACGCAAGGGGATCTTAAACAGCCCGCATGCACCAACCCACACACCTCCTGTTGAAACTCCGCCATGGCCTGAATGGAGTCGTGGCTCTTGAGCAGCTTCACTGGTGTCCACACCAACGCACTCACTCCTGATGGAACCGAGTCAACACGCACGAACGCACCACTCACTCAACTCCTGCTGGAACTCACTCACTCACTCACTCACCACCTGCTGGAACTCACTCACTCACTCACTCACCACCTGCTGGAACTCACTCACTCACTCACCACCTGCTGCAACCAAGTCGGCAATCGCTCACCCACCTCTTGTTGGAACTCCGCCATGGCCTGAATGGAGTCCTGGCTCTTGAGCAGCTTCACGGCCACGGGCGTGTGGTGCAGCGTGCCCGAGTACACGGTGCCGAACCCCCCCTCGCCCAGCTTGCGCGCCGCACTGAAGTTGTCCGTTGCTGCCTGCTTGGTGCGTTGGGTGGGGAGAAAGAGACACAGGGGGGGGGAGGCACAGAGTGAGAGGCGCGGTTGGAGGTGCAGGAGGGGAGGAGCAGAGGAGGGGATGCACGGGGGGGAGAGGCAGAGAATGGGAGTTCAAGCAGGGTTGGGTGGGCAGGCGGGGAGCAGGGCGTGTGGTGCAGCGTGCCGGAGTGCACGGTGCCGAACCCCCCCTCGCCCAGCTTTCTCTCCGCACTGAAGTTGTCCGTTGGTGCCTGCTTGGTGCGAGAGAGGGCGGGGCGAAGATTGAAATGCAGGGGGTGAGGTGCAGCGGGAAGGGAAGGGAGAGGGGAAGAACAGATGGGGTGGTGCAGGGGGGAGGAGGGGAGCACGGGGGGAGGAGGGGAGCACGGGGGGAGGAGGGGAGCACAGGGGGAGGAGGTGCAGCGTTCCAGAGTACAGTACACGGTGCCAAAGCCCCCCTCGCCCAGCTTTCTCCCCGCACTGAAGTTCTCCGTCGCAGCCTGCTTGGTGTGTTGGTGTGACAGAGAGAGAGAGACGCCAGTGGGGAAGGAAGATGGGGGAGGCACAGGAGGGGTGGGAGGGGGGTGTACAGGAGCTTGGTGCGTTGACGATTCTGTTCAATCTGGCTCTCTAAGACGCTCTAGCTCACAAGCTTTCCAGGCTCTCTCATTTTTTCATTTCATGGAGTTTGCTTCGTCGTCCTAAGACACAGTTTAAGTTGATGGACATAAGACCTCCGCAGCCCACCTGTTTACCATTGACAGCACAGGAGGGGTGGGAGGGGGGTGCAGGGAGGGGTGGGAGGGGGGTGCACAGGAGCTCCGAAGAGGGGGGTAAGCCCGGGGGAGAGGGGGAGGCTCAGGAATGGTCAGCGGGGCAGAAGAGGGAGCAGGGCGTGTGGTGCAGTGTGTCAGAGTACACACACACACGGTGCCAAAGCCCTAGCGTTCTCCCCACACTGAAGTTGTCAGTCACTGCCTGCTTGGTGCGTTGGTGAGGGAGAGTGAGACGCCACGTCAGTGAGGAGGCCCAAGAGGGGTGGGTGGAAAGGGGGTTTAGTGAGCAGGAAGCAGTGCAGGCAGGGTGTAGAGTGCAGGGCTGTACTCATGCACTCTCCCCCTCTGCTTGGTGCGAGGGGGAGGGAAAGAGTGAGACATTAGTGGGGAAGGCACAGAGGGGGTGTGGGCGGAAAAGGGGTTAGCAAGGAAGGCAGGGTGTAGAGTGCAGGGCTGTACTCATGCACTCTCCCACTCTGAAAGCAACCTCACACACATATCCTCCCCCTCATGGTATTGCTTCTACACCAGGGCTAAAGTTAGGCTTTTCGCCAACTCGGACGTTTTGGCTCCCTTACAAAAATGTCCTGGAAACGCAGGGTCAGCCGAAAAACCGCTCGGAAAAGTCAGGGCTAGCCTAAAAATTCCTTAATTCGATAGTTCCGCGGCTATGGAGACTTCTGCCAAAAGCTGAGGTTCAAACTCTGTGTGTTGGTGCACTTATGCTGCTTTCGTGTGGACCTCTGCTCACAGAGAGCAAGAGTATACAGATGCCTCCGAATTTGACTAAGGAACAGAGGGGAGTGAGGGAAGCATTCACAGGTCCAGGAAGAGGGGGGAGAAGTTTACTAGTGTTGAGCGAGAGGGGGCCAGGTTGGGGGTTGTTTAGAGCCTTAGAAAAAGTTCCGAGTCTTTCGAGGGAGTACTCGGATTCATCAGAGTCAGTACTGGAAGAGCTCGGATTCAGTCAGGGCTTGCAGGAAAACTCCCCTGTAAAAATCCGAGTTCGGCTAAAAAATACCTTGGATTTTCAGTCAAGAACGAGCATTTACCCTGATAGCCTGAGCCCTGTTCTACACCCCCCAGCGCCAAACGCCTCCGAATTTTCTTTCCAAGGCTTCTTCTACCCGACTCAGCAACGCACCAGGATTTCTTCATACGAGTATTCCCTGTAGTGATGCACCCGCCGCACCACTGGCGCAACCGGTTCCCCTCCCCCCGCCGCTCCTCCTCCACCACCTGCCCCCTTCTCCACCTCCTCTCCCCTCCCCGCCTCCCCACCTCCTCTTCCGCTGCTCTCCTCCCCTCTTCCGCGGCTGCCCGCGCCCTCTCCGCGTCTGCAGCCATCTGCCCAATCCTCGCTGCTGCATCCGCCTCCCGAGCCACTCCCTGTGCCGCGGCAACCTGAGGCGAGCCCCCAGGCTCGGGCCGAGCCTGCTGGTTACCACCGAGTCTGGCAGCGGCGTCATGGAGCGGCATGCCTGCTAGGGCTGCAGTGGCCTGGGCCATACGCGCCTCTAGGTCAGCCATGAATGCCTGCTGCTGCTCTGGGGTCGCCTGGGGGTTCGCCCTCCTCCACGCGTCCACCTCTGCTAGATAGTCTCTCTGTAGCCGCTGCTGCACCTGCTGCAGCTGCATCTGCTGCTGCTGCTGCAGCTGCTGCAGCTGCTGCTGCTGTTGCAGTAGCAGCATCTGCTGCTGGTTCTGCAGCTGCAGCTGCTGCATTTTCATCTGCATCATGGAGTCCAAATCGCCCCCGTCCCCAGGATTCCGAATCGGGGAGGCCCCTGGCATGCCGTGAGGCACGGCCAAGCCTGGGGAGTAAGTTTGGAAGCCGGGTATACCGTCGGGTGTGGTAAGGGTAGCACCAGCATGGTCGTGAGGCCAGGTACCGGCTCGGGAGGGCTGTGGGGCGGCGTGGACGTTGGGGCTGCTGGGGTAGTCGGCGCCAGGTGGCTGCGCGCCATTGGTCCTTGCGGCTTCATCATCTTCTGCATGATTGGCTTGAGGGAAAGGGAGAAGGGCGAGAGTGATGTGTGTCTGTGCACCCGTAACCAGAGCTACAATAGAACCTATATTCCGAAGAAGAGAGTGAGAAATAATACACAATTGCCACCTTTGTCATCAAGTAGAGAAATAGAGTGAGTTGTTAAGATAAGCCTCCCTCCCTTTCACCGGCATCATCAAATGCAAGCCCATTGCTCGGCTCCAATGCCCCACACGCGCTGTGCGTGGAGGAGCGATCGGGGTGGTTATGTACCAATGCTCCTCCCCCCACCCCGCTTGCAGGTGGGTGGTTAGGTACCAACGCTCACTGAACCAGTTCTCAAGTCAAGGTCCCCCCACCCACCTGCATCAACTAACGCATTGCTCGGCTCCAGCACCCCAGACGAGCTGTGCGAGGAGGAGCAATCGGATTGGTTATGTGTGTGCCAATGCTGACTAACACTGACTGACCCGATTCTCAAAGGTGTGGTTCCCTTCCCACCTACCTGCATCATCAAACGCACCGTTCGGCTCCAACACCCCCAACCAGCTTTGCGCGGAGGTGGGCTCATCGGTGGGCTCTCCCTGACGAGCTGTGTGTGGGGAGGAGCGATCACACTGGTGGTGCGCGGACGCTGACTGACCCAATTCTCAAGCCCCCCTCACCCCACCCACCCACCTGCATCGTCAGACCCGAGCCCATCGGTGGGCTCCAGCACCCCCGACGAGCTGCGTGTGGAGGAGCGGTCGGACTGGTGGTGTGCGGACATGGACGGGCTGTGGCGGAACGGTGCTGATGACGCCACAAGCAAGTGGCCGGGGCTGGTGGGCGCGGAGGAGGAGGAGCCGGGCAGGGAGTCGGCCTCTCTGCACGCGGTGACTTTGTCCTTTAGCACCACGTAGACGGACACTGTTGGGGGGCGGTTCTTCATGCAATACGCCCCCACTCCCGTACGGCCGCGACTGGAAAGGAGAGGGAATGGGGGAGGGGAGTGGGGTGGGGGAGGGGTGGGGGGGGGAGGTGGGGTAGGGGTGGGGGAGACGGTGGGTGAAAGCAGCTTTGATTTTTCTCTCGATCTCGTTATGGCTCGCTCGCCCTCTGCACGAGGGGACGCGGTCCTTTAGCACCATACAGACGGATATTGTGGGGGGGCGGTTCTTCATGCAGTACATACACACGGCAGAGCGCATGCACGTGAAATGAGGGTGGTTTTGAGACGTCTAAAAAGCACCCTCATTTCACGTGGCTATTGTGGGGGAGGGCGGTTTTTCACGCAGTACACACGCCAGTGTGCACACACACACACACACGCAGGCACATACATGCCAAAGATGCCTCTTGAGTTGGTGCCGACGACGAGTGTGGTGGCCTTGAGCTTCCTGGACTCGTCCACGATGCCCCTCTCCTTGCTGTTGTTCCTCCCCACCTTCAACTCCAGCCTTATCTGCCATGCACACATGCATATGAACACACACACACACACACACGCACGTGTGCGCAGACACACATACACGCACACACAGCCAGACATGTACACTCCCACCCAGGCACACTCCCCCTCCCCCCTTTTCCATGCTCACACGCATACAAACACACACACACGTACTCCCACACGCGTATGCACAAAAACACATACACGCACGCGCGCGCGCACGCACGCACGCACACAAGCACCAGGAGCGACCATCATCAGCACCGTTTTAGCAAACCCCCCTTCATGCTGTGTCGTCTCGTCCTCAACAACCAAATCCTCTAGGAAACCATCCGCCCTACACAGCAACAGCAATAAGAAGCATTCCAAATCTCCCAAAACCACCATCAACGTGAACGTCTGCCCTGGACCTGCAGCCCTGGTTGCTACGAGGTGACCTTTGAGTCGACTCAAAAGTCTACCAAAACTAACACCAACGTACGTGAAGGTCTGTCTTGGGCCTTTACTGGTTGATACGCAATGAATAAAAGGCTACCTTGAGCTCACCTTGGGATCATCACGGGGTGCTGCGGGCTCACCTTTGAGTCGACCATGCCCTTGAGTTCGATGATCATAGGCCGTATCACTGAACAATAAGAAACGGCTCGGCTACCTTGATCCTTTGCTACGGATGAAGTCAATGCAGTGCGGGCTGCTGCAATTGCTCACCTTGGAGTCGACCATGCTCTTGAGTTCGATCATCATGGGCTGCACCACTGTGCGCACGTAGTGCACGAATGTTGTGTTGTTCACGTCGCTCTGATACATCTCCACCTCTGCTCACGCCATGCACGCACGCATACACGCACGCATGCATGCATGCACGCACGCACCCATGCATGTACGCACCCATGCATGCACGCACCCATGCATGCACGCACCCATGCATGCACGCACCCATGCATGCACGCACCCATGGATGCACGCACCCATGGATGCACGCATATCACAGATGCGAGCCATGCACACCATGCGAGCGAGAAAAAAGGCGACGGCGGATCCGTGTGAGAGGAGAGACGCGAGCTGAGTCGTAACCTGCTCACTATCGAGTCAGCTGTATAAGTCAGCAAGTTCAAGCAAGCCGATACGCGAGCAGCAATGCAAGAATGGCAGGTTCCAAAAGCCTCATCACAACACCGGCAAGGTACCATCACGGCCAGAACACCGGAGGTTTCCGCGCCAGAAAATCCCTGTGGGCGACCAGCGAGGCGCTTACTCTGATGGGTGGGAACTTTGGTAACCACATGCAACAGAATGAGCATGTCGTCGGGGTGTCGCAGCCTGTTGGCGATGGCCCATCGGATCGCGTCTTTGCTGCACGGGTCCTTCCCCACTCCCACCACCACGCGCTCGCACCCCGACCCTACCCATCCCGGCGTGCTTGTCCCGCTCGCGCTCATGCCTCACCGCTCCTTCCCCCTCCCTCCTTCCCGCCTTCGCCTGCTATTGCGATTTCATCCGCGGTAGTGACTGTCTCGAGTTATCCAGTTGACACATCATTATCGATTAAAGAAGCTGCTTATCACATTTTTATGACTACCCCATTGGCGCCGCATTATCCATGCGTCGCGCGTTTGCGAATTCTATGAAAGGCCTAATGCATTGTCATCCGTATATATCAATAATTTTCTATCCTGAAGGCATGGCCAGGTTGACGAGTTGAAAGGTAAGGGATTGAATATATGGCCGTTGAACTGACCGCGGAAGCAATCGCTACGTACTAACCCTAATTTTCCAAAACTTGTGTCGCCATACACGAGTCGCTACAGCCTGAACCGTCGTAACGAGAGGTAGGTACACGTGAGCAGGGCAGGTCGACTATAGGTGGCTGTTAAGTCCAACAATCGAGGTAGGCAAGCCCGAAACTAGTCTTACGAAAACCGTACAATGGCTTTAGTTGACAAAAACTGCAACTGTCAGAGCAGAGCGTCTCGAGTCAAGAGACAATCATGAGCAGGAGGGGTGCTACGACACTGCGAGTCGCAAGTCGTGGTGACCCGTGGTTTAGTCGGCTGGAGAGAGTTGTAAAGTGGTGAGGCTAAGGGAAGGTCGTTTCTGGTAAAACGGAGGCTGGAGGGAGAAGCCCTGGATGAACCCAAGGGACCCGTGACCAGTCAGTGTTAGTCACCCAGCAGAACCGAGGGAGAAGTTACCACCACCACAATAACAGGAGTAGTGGAATCTAGGGAGCGGAACATAGGGAGCGGAGGAAGCTAGAGAGACAGATGGCATGATACGGGACACTCGTTTTTTTCGGTGCAATACGTTAACTCAAGTTTTAACGCGTTGAATAAACGATATAGTGCGGTTCGTTGGGTAATGAGCAACCGCGAGGTCATGAGATCATGAGATCGTATCAGGTTACGAGGTCACAAGTGACAGCAAGGAGACTCGTGGAGCCGAGTTGCGTTGCGGGGAGGCTGGGGGAAGCAACTGGCGGAAAATGAGACTACAAGTGGAGAGCCAGCTGGGCCCCTCTGACTCGCTGGCCCTTCAACGCTGGCTCTTCGAAGCCAGGTTCGCTGTTCACTGAAATGACAGCGTCGTTGCAGTGTGCGCAGATGTCCGGGGTTTCGGAACTCTCCGCCATGGCTGACTTACGTGTATCGGATTCCTGCATTTCGTGAAGCCGACTTATCAGTTAACAACGTCACTGTTACCAAAAGCATCGCCATGACTCAAGCATTCAGGAGTTACCACTTTTGTGTCCATCCAACGGACATTGCACCTCCTGTTTCAATGGCTAATCTAGGTGCTGACCTGGCAGTTCCTGATAACATCGCGGCTATTATCGGTCTCGGATTTCCTTCTATAACGCTTTTCCAGTCAAGTGTTCAGGCTTGGGATCTCAATGGTCATATTATTAACACTTTTGACGAAGCGCTTCTCGAGAATGTTTCTAAGGTGTTACACCATCATCCTGGAAAATGAATCTGGGCTAACAAGGATCTACTTAAGCGGTTGCTGTTCAGTCAGGCAGCTCATCAGTTTCCTAGCATCACTGCTATCAACGCTACGCTGCTGCTTTATCATCACAGCATGCCGCCTAAAGGATCCAAGGCTACCAAGCTCCCAGTTGACAATGGCCTGGAGAATGGTGACTCCACGGATCTTCCTGCGCCTGACAAGTCACCAATGAAGAATCATGAGAATGGCGACAATGGCAAGCAAGCGGCTCCAGAGGCTGGAAGTTCCGGACTCTCGGTTGCTGAGAAGGCTTCTCTGCTTACCGGTGACCTTCTTGATGATGATCCCGACGATGAGCTTGAGCTTGATGTGAAGCAGGAAGTTCTATCTCGTCTTCGTTTTACCGCGATCCTGCTGGTTCCCTTCATCCTGCAGCAAGAGATGGGTTCAGTTATCGCGGCAGTTAAGACTCTTCTGAAGAGGGTGTGGTCAAAGGACATCTCGCCGGAAAGCTCTGCGACCGCGTCGGTTCAAACGCTGCTTCCTGCTTTCGTCGCGAAGACGAAGTTCTGTCGCCTCCAGATTTCGCTCCTGCATGAGGCCGACATTAACATCGTCCGTCAGAAGGAAGTGGACTATCGGAAGGCGAACGGTTCAGGCAACACTGTCAAATGCTACTGGCAGCACACGGAGGACTCTGGTTTCCTCAGGGAGAAACCGCTTAACCCGCTGGCTATTGACGCTGTTTTCAAAAATGTACCTGCTAACATTTCTCCTGATCTGCTGAAGGATTTGCTGTCTCGCTACAAGTTGAAGATCCGCCAGCAGCCACCGTTCCTGGAAGGGAAGCACTTCCATCGCGTCCTGCATCCTGTGACGGGAGCTGACACTGAGACAGTTAAGGGTCTGGTTATTCCGCATCCGGGAGATGGACACAAATGGAGACAGGTGGTGAACATCCCTGCGGACGGCGGAAGGAAGATCCTGGTCCACTACCCCTTGCTGTCCTGCTCTCTCTGCGGAGGACATCATTATGAGTCAAATCATGATATGTTCGTTACGGAGAGGCAGAACAACATAGGGAAGTGGGACCTTACTCTGGGGAGGGTGCATAGTATCAATGGTAACTGTGTGATTAACCCGCATCTTCAAAGCTCACTTCCGCTTTTACCTCTTATTGTGCCAGCTGATCTTACTATTGCTCGGATCCGCTGTGGCAGCTGCCTCTCTGCACACCTCTCCGCTGGTCACGCCTATCCTCCAGGATCCTGCGATCGCTTTGATTTCCACGGGTTGCAACCGGGAGGAGTGGATCTGTACGCAGACGGGCTGTGGGAAGGCAAAAGGGAAATCCTTCATGACGGCGGCGGAGCATGTCGAGTCTGCAAATCACCTGCTTCAGCTGGAGAAGCTGGGAACTGCAACACGCGTCTCTCTCGAGAAAGCCACACTTGCCCTGCTCAAGAAGGATTACGGTCTTTAGCAGTTGGGTCAGCAGCGGCAGCAGTAGGTCTTATGGTAGTTGGCATTGTCGTAACCCTCAGCCTGTGGATGAATAGGGGCTGCCAAGGAGTGGTCCAATGAGTAACAGAAATGTATTATCTTTCGCCGGCCTTAACGTGAATGGGCTCGGTGGCTTCACGAAGCAATCTTGGGTTACTGCATGGACAAGGGAAGTGGCAGACGTTAATATCCTCACAGACACTAGATTAGCAGGAAACCACCCGTACTGGGGCTCTTTACGGAACGCCACAGTAGTAGCTAGCACACCGCAGGAGAGGGCCGGTGGAGTTGCGGTCATCTCTTGGGACCCCGGCATACAGTTTAGAAACACGCTGTCTCACCCATCTGGCAGGCTCATTCGAACGGAGGTAGTAGGCAAAGGTCTAGAGGTCACCCTCGTAGCAACTTACTTCCCAGCATCTCCAGCCGCTCGTGTCATCTTTATTAGGGACGTGGTAGGGCCGGTGGTAGATCAGGTCAGAACGGGTAGTCACCTCCTCATCATAGGAGATCTAAACATGATAGAGGACCCATTCTTAGACAAGACGTCAAGAACAAGGACTGGTTCTTGTTACTTGTGGACTTCCAAAAAGCTTTCGACTCGGTCTCGCGCGGTTTCCTCTTCGAAACCTTGGAGAAGATGGGGTTCCCTCCGCGCTTTGTGGGATGGGTGAAGGGCCTGCACAAGGAAACAAGAACGAGGTTGTTAATCAACGGCTGGAAATCGGATGCGTTGGAAGTGGTATCCGGGGTGCGGCAGGGCTGTCCTCTTGCTCCGTACCTCTTTATTTGCGCGGTGGAGCCCTTGGCGCAAGAAGCGGCGAAGAGACAGCTCGGCATCGTCAGTGATTCGGGGTGGAGACTGCCGTACCTGGGCTATGCGGACGACACCACACTCCTGCTGCAAGGAAGGGAGCAGATCGCCGAAGCGGGGAAGCTGCTGGGATATTTTGAGAACATCTCGGGTCTGGCCACGAACAAGGAGAAATCTGTTGTCATGCCGCTGGGGAGGAACCTGGGCAGTCGCCCTTGGAGGCCGGATGGCTTCAAGTGGGCCGGCGCAGATGATGCGGAAAGATTGCTTGGGGTGTGGATTACAGCTTCAGGCAACTGCAAACCAACGTGGGACAAAACACTGACACGATTACTGGGGGAGCTAGCGAAG